CTCCTCACCCCAGCCACCTCCCCTCCTGGTCTCCTCACCCCAGCCAAGTAATTAAGACCCATTTCTGCCTTAACTGACGTCATTAAGACCTATCCTTACCTTAACTAACCTTGCTAATTGCTATCCTTACCTAACCTAACTAAACTCTATCTCAACTTGACCTGACCTGACGTAATCATTATTAACCTCTGTCTTAACTTGACCTGACTTGAACTGGCTTAACCATTATTAACCTCTATCTCAACTTCACCTGACCTGACCTAACTTAACCAATATTAATCTCTACGTCGACTTAACCTGACCTGATCTATCTTAACCATTATTAAGTTATATCTCAACTTAACCTGACCTAAATTAACCATTATTAAGCTCTATATCAACATGACCTGACCTGACCTGACCTAACTTAACCATTACAAACATTTATCTCAACATGACCTGACATAACCAATATTAACGTCTACCTCAACTTAACCTGACCTAACCTAAATTAACCATTATTTTAACTATTTCAACTTAAGCTAACCTGACCTGACCTTTCTCTCTAGGGACGGACGAGGAGCGAGGGATGGTGGCGTGGAAGGATCAGTTAAAGCCCCCTAGTGAAGAATCTGCCATGGACCATTCTTGTTATAACCTTCCCGTAGGCATGGACACCGTCAGGAGGTAATGTGTAGGTTTTGTATCCGTCTGTTTGTGGAGGGATATTTTTGGTGAGTGTGTGTCTGTGTGAACCTAATCTAACCTAGTCTGTCTGTGTCTGTTTGTGGGGGAGTTAATATTTTTAGTGTGTGTGTGTCTGTGTGAACCTAATCTAACCTAACCTTCATCTCTCGTTTATAATGTTACAACTGTTTAATATATTACAGATGGAATTGGACGAGGTATGTACCCATATCCCCTACGTTTATCGGCTGGGGGTTCGTAAGGAAGAGGTGTATGAAATCATCAGCGTAGAGGGTGCCACTACTACTATCACCACCCACAACTACAGCTACTATTACTACTTCACATCACCACCACCATCACTATATTAATACTACCATCACCATCACCACTACTACTACTACTGCTACTTTTTTTTTCTTCCTGTATAATAACCTCCAGCCTCCTCTTATTAACCATGCCACCAATTTTACATCATATGACCCCCTTCCCCCCTCACCCCCTCAGTGTCACCCTGACGAAGGAGTCGATAAATAAAGTACTTCTTGGGCGATAGAACCCACAGATATCATCCACAGAACCCTTCCCTCCTCCCTGACGAGATCCCCTTGTGCCATCTCCAGAACCACCAGCACTACCCCCCAACAGAACCACCAGCACTACCCCCCAACAGAACCATCAGCACCTTTAACAGAACCTGCTTTACCCCCAACAGAACCACCAGCACTACCCCAACCAGAACCACCAGCACTACCCCCAACAGAACCACCAGCACTACCCCCCAACAGAACCACCAGCACTACCCCCCAACAGAACCATCAGCACCTCACTAACAACAAATACACTCCGGGAAACTGACAGACAAATGGACAACAACGTCTTATTGTATCTACCAAACACAAGCCAGCATAAGACGACGTATCTTTAAGCTTTACGTCGTCATATAACCAGGGCAGCAGTGCAGAGATCCTGTAAATTTGGCCTAGAAACGCACACACTCTTTATTTTTTGTGAACGAATGCTAAGAAGAAGCTACACTGACAGGAAAACAAATTAAGATGAGCAAAACTTCAAGATAAATACTTTAAATGTACAGAAAAATACAAATGAGATACTTTAGTCATATAATTAAGGATGATGTGATAATAATAACATAAATATTAATGGGTAAAGTTGGTGGTAGGTGGGTCAGGGGAAGGTAGGGACTGGGATGGATGGAGGACTGTGGTCGCTAACCCTCAGATATGACGAAGGAATTCTGATAATGCGGTCCTGATGGTTAAAAGATGCTCCTATAGTACATTATGTTGATCACGTGGAAATTAGTCCCAACCTTACTTAACCCCCGATAGCATTAGGAGGGCTAATCTTCATGTGATCCATTTGTGTCCTTAGCAACCGTGCCGCTTGTCTGAGCTGTCACGGTTGCTAGGGACAAATTTAAATGGGTTGAGATTAGTCGATAAGTCAATTATTCTCGAAATTTTATGACCCCCCAACAAATTATCTCACCTCACTTGCGGTCATAACTTTACCTCACAAGATATCATGACCCCACATTACAACAGGTCATGACCCCACATTACAATAGGTCATGACCCCCACATTACAACAGGTCATGACCCCACATTACAATAGGTCATGACCCCCACATTACAACAGGTCATGACCCCCACATTACAACAGGTCATGACCCCACATTACAACAGGTCATGATCATTCCCCTATGTCCTTTTACAACAGGTCATGACCCCACATTACAATAAGTCCTTGACCCCACGTACAACAGGTCATATTTACGACTCTAACAGATCCTTGTTGTTACTGTGGAGTCATGGCCCCACATTACAACAGGTCATGACCCCACATTGCAATAGATTGGCATTTACATCCTAACAGGTCATGACCCCCACATTACAACAGGTCATGACCCCACATTACAATAGGTCATGACCCCCACATTACAATAATGGGTCATGACCCCCACATTCCCTAATAGGTCATGGTCCCCACATTACAATAGGTTATGATCCCCACATTACAATAGGTCATGACCCACATTACAACAGGTCATGACCCCACATTACAACAGGTCATACCCCACATTACAATAGGTCATGACCCCCACATTACAATGGGTCATGACCCCACATTACAATGGGTCATGACCCCACATTACAACAGGTCATGACCCCCACATTACAATAGGTCATGACCCCACATTGCAATAGGTCATGACCCCTACATTACAATAGGTCATGACTCCACATTACAACAGGTCATGACCCCACATTACAACAGGTCATGACCCCACATTACAATAGGTCATGACCCCACATTACAATAGGTCATGACCCCCACATTACAATAGGTCATGACCCCCACATTACAATAGGTCATGACCCCACATTACAACAGGTCATGACCCCACATTACAGTAGGTCATAAACCCCACAAAATGTCATCACCCTACCTAACATGTCATGACCCCATCCCATTGCAGGTCATGACCCCATCCCATAACAGGTGTGGGGATCATGACACCTCGGCCAGTGAGAAGTTATTGTGTGACCTCTGAGTCTTCCGTTTGTTTCTGTATGCAATGTTGTCTCAATAAAAGTCTTTGAAAACTATTGTGAATTTTTACTTAAAGAAATGTAAGTTTGTAACGTTGTGTGTGTGTGTAAAACATCACAGATGACATGTAATAGACAGTAGGCAGTCGGCAGCTACCAAACAGGGAGGTACTACCGCCGTGGAAGATATTGGAAGCATAATATATTGTCTAATGGTAGACCCTGCTGCCATATGGCATCACGAAAATTGTGACCAAGTCCCAGGTTGATGATCTAACTTTCTGCCTCATTTACACACAATTACAGGGTCTCAATTGTTTCTCTTACTATTGACAACACAACATACAAACAGTATATTGTTCCTCACTTTTGATCTTTTCATTTGTGTATTTATGGTTCTTTATTATTATTGTTATTACAGAGTTATTATTATTTTATTTTTTTATTTTAAATTTCATCTACTATGAATTATTATTATTATTATTATTACTTTTTTGCCCCCCAAGCCCTTATGTGGGTCAGTGACCTGTGCCCGGGTGGGCTAATGCCCGCAAAAAAATAAAAAATAATTATATATATATATATATACGAATATATATATATATATATATATATATATATATATATATATATATATATATATATATATATATATATATATATATATATATATATATATATATGCAAATAAATCACTGTAGGTACGCGTGATCCTTGGTTATCAGCATATATATATATATATATATATATATATATATATATATATATATATATATATATATATATATTAATATGTACAATTACAGTGCTGAGGTTGCTGTGTGGTGAGGCTTGCTGAGAGGTCCTGTTGGGTGAGGAGCTTGCTGAGAGGGTCCTGTTGGGTGAGAGCTTGCTGAGAGGTCCTGTTGGGTGAGGAGGCTTGCTGGGGAGGTCCTGTTGGGTGAGAGCTTGCTGAGAGGAGGTCCTGTTGGGTGAGAGCTTGCTGAGAGGGTCCTGTTGGGTGAGGAGCTTGCTGAGAGGGTCCTGTTGGGTGAGGAGCTTATGAAGGTCCTGTTGGGTGAGAGCTACTGAAAGGTCCTGTTGGGTGAGGAGCTTGCTGAAGGTCCTGTTGGGTGAGGCTTGCTGAAGGTCCTGTTGGGTGAGAGCTTGCTGAAGGTCTGTTGGTTTGAGAACGTTGGAGTAGAGTGGTGATGATGATGATGATAATGGAGATAAAATGGCAATGGTTTGCCATGGGAAGGGAGAGAAGAGGTAAGGTAGAAGGGAAGTTATGAAACGGGAAGTAAAGTAGTAGAGAATAAGAGCAGGTGGGCTATCCACCTAGCAGAGACGATTTGATTGGCTGTGGTGAAGGCCGCACTAAGAGGTCGCCTAAGCTCAAGGGAACAGGGGGGGGAGGGGGGGGGAGGAGGCTAAGCTAGCTAGCAAGGGGGTGTTTGTTATTGTGTTAGTTGGAGAGGTCTACTAGGTCCTTGTGTAACTAGTAGAAAACTCTCATCTTTTGTGTACTATTTAATGTACAATAGTTCTGGCTCTTGAGGGTTATGGAGAAGGCTTTTTGGCCACCAGCTGTGTGATCTTCTGGTGTCCTCTGTTTTTAGTCGATGGTATAATTCGTCTTCCATTATTTCTAGTTTGTGCCATACTGCCTGTGCTTGGCTGTATGTTCTTATGTTCAGTGGTAAAATATTGTATTTTTCGTGAAGCTCTTTAATTTTGGTTGTGTATGGGGGACGTTGTTTGGAGGCTCTGCGGATGGCTTTGTTCTGTGTTGCCTGAAGTTTTAATTGGTTGGTAAGGCTGATCGTGTTTAATGGTATTGGCGGGTATTCAAGATGGGGGCAGACAAGTGCTTTAAATAGGTGTAGTTGTATTTTCTCTTCCATTTTGCCGAATCTTCTTAATTTGGTAAGCTGTATTTGGGCTAGTCTATTGCGCTCTGTTATGTGTTTATTTATTCCGGTTCTTGTTATTGTTAGCCCCAGTATTTTTCCTTCGTTAGAGTAATGTATTTCTTCGTTGTTTACTGTGATTGGTGCTGGGTTTATCCTTGAAATGTGTATGATCTTTATTTTCTGTGTATTAGTTTTTATTTTCCATTTCTTCTCGTAATTATTTATTTGTATTATGGCGCGAGCTGTTTTTAATGCCATCATCTGTTTGGCCTTGCCTGGATGGCGGATGATCTGGGTGACATCATCAGCATATGCGATGTATTCACCGTGAATTGGTGGCGGCATGTCTGAAGTGTAGATTGTATAAAGAGTTGGGGATAAATTACTTCCTTGTGGTACTCCACTATAAAGTCTGAAGCTTGGGCCTTTGTGATTGCCTATTATAATGTGTGCTTCTCTATTGTCCAAGAAATTACACAGTAGAGAAGTGAAGTTGTTAGGGAGTTCTTGATTGGTTATTTTATATTTAAGTCCCAAGTGCCAGACCTTATCGAACGCTTTTGCCACATCCCTTAAAACTATGTTGCACTGTTCTTTATTATGCATTGCGTTTGCAATACTTTCGTATATAAGGGCTATGGCTGTGTTTGTTCCTCTGTGTTTCCTGAATCCGTGTTGTCTAGGGTTGTATTTGTATTCCAGTTCCAGGTGTGTTCTTAATCGTTGGTTAATTATTTTTTCCAAAATTTTTCCCGGTGTTTCTAAGAGAGAGATTGGTCTGTAGTTTTCTACTGCTGTGGGGGCTTTTCCCGGTTTTGGTATCAGTCTGATAATTGCTATCTTGAATTTCTTTGGGTAGTAGCCTGAAGCTATGGATGCGTTGAATATATTTCTTAGTAGAAGTACCATGTTGCTTGGTAATTGCTGTAAAATGAGTTTATTTATTTTGCTGACTCCAGGAGCCATTTTCTTAAAGCTATTGATTGTTCTTACTATTTCGTCCACCGTGATTGGTTTGTTTAGTGGGGACATGTCATCCAGTGTATTCAGGTCGATCGTGGGTCTCGGTTGCCAAATATGGGTTATTTGCGACATATGGTTGGATACTTCCCTCTCTGTGGTCATGCAAAAGTTTAAGTTTTCTTCGTTGGTGATTTGAAAAATCTTACTCCAGAAAGATCTAAATTCCGGTTCTTGTTCGGTTGGTTCTGTTAATTTGACTTGATTACTATTTACTATATAGTTTGACTCGTTGCTTGAGGTTCCCATTAAGTGCTTTATTTTCTGCTAGAACTGGTTCGGTTTATGGTAGTTTCCTTCCGTTTCTGAAATCAGCTTCTGCCAGTTCCTGTTGTATGCTTCTTTTGATATCTTTTTTAGTTGTTCGTGTATTATGTTGTATATGTTTCTGCGTTCCGGTGTCCATCCTTGCTGTGTGATTAGTTTAATTAGGTTGCTAAATTGTGTCTGTATGATTCTTGATTGGTGTGAGTATTGAGGGTGTGGTAATGTTCGGTGAGTGGTCTTGGGTATGTTGTGTTCCATGGCCTGGCTGACGTGCTCATACCATATATCCAGTGATTGGTCTATTAGAGAAGTGTGCCCGTTGTGTAATTGTATGGGTTGCGGGTTATTTAATTCTTGTTTGAAGTTTTCCCAGTTAGCCCGGTTATAGTTGAATCTTAGCCTGGCCGGGATCTGTATTGGGGCTGTGGAGAGTGTGGCTATGATAGGGAGATGATCACTAGTGGATATTGGGCCGGGTTCGAGTAGTATGTTTAGGTGGTGGTGTTGATTTGTTAACACGAGATCTGGGTATCCTGTGTGGCCTGCTCTGATGTACGTGGGGAATTCCGGTCCGAGGTGTACCACGTTGCCGTGGCTCACTAGTGTGTTCAGGACCCGGCCTACTGCGTTGTTGGTATGGTGTCCTAGTATGCGGTGTCTTGCGTTGAGATCACCCAGAAAGTATGCAGGTATGTTCCTCCTCATCAATCTGAGCATGTCTGCTATTGGAAAAATTGGTCGTCTTGGCGGGAGGTAGCAGGTGCCGTTGTGCTGTTAATTTCTATTGCCAGAAAGTTTTATTGGAATGTATCATGGATTTTATGTTTTATGCTTCTTTTAATTGCTATGGCAACTCCATCTTGTAAAGGATTTTGGCTGTTTTTTTGGTATATTCTGTAATTAAATATCTTGATTTTATTTGAATTATCCCTGCCGTGAGAATTTAGTATGATGACGTCTGGGTCTAGGCTACGATATATGTTGTATAATTCGTGAGCTCTTGTATGTGTCCAGGCCAGGACATTATGTTGAATTATTTTAAGTCTGTTGATTTTGAATGGTGATGTCTCGAGCTTGTTTGCGGCTGAGGTGTATTTATACGGTTCTCTAGGATCAGAGAGACGAGGTGCGAAATGAGCGGCGCCAATCACCGCGCAGTTCGCGAGTGAGGCCTGGTCTGTGGAACTCGCTGCTGTATGCCACGGCACTATCTCTCCCACTGCAATTTCCTTCCTAACTTCCTGCTCCTTCCTCTGTCATCTTCCCCGCTCTGCCTTTCGCTACCAACAACTTTTTGGAGCTTCTAAACTTGGAAAGCTGATTGGCTGGTAAGCGAACGGCAAGTGATCAGTCAGCAGTTGTAGTGGATTCCTCCCCTACAAGCACCGAACCTTCTCGAATCCCCCAGCCTACGCCTCCAGCGCCGCCCACGGAGCGGGGGTCAACTATCTACCCACGCCTACTCCCGCCGTATAAGGCTTGACACCGCTGTGACCATCCTCTTTATACTACCCAGCGCCACCAGCAAGCAACACCTCCGCGCCAGCCGCGCGGCTGCCGCTCCCGCCAGCGACCTTGGCGTCCCTCGAGCCGCGTGCCCTCACTCTGGGCACCCTCACCACCCAGCTCTCTCTACTCAACGCTTATTACCATGCTATCTACCCAGCAACAAGCTGCATTGTACATCCAATACAATATGTATACAGTGAGCACATTGTGAGTTCCTTTCTCCATCCCATCCTGAGTGTGAACCAATATCGCATACCCCTACAGAGTATCCACTACAGCTTCAACTGCTAAAGTCTTTAAATATCATCAAAATACTATAAATCCTGTACAAGTCAACAAATTTCAAATAATTAAAAAATACCAGGGAGACCTTTGTTAAACTGTATTGTAGATTATATCATAGTACACTTTCTACCAATATTTTACGTCAAGTGATGTACACTGTACAGTAGTACAGTTTTCAAGAAACTGTTAATTTACTTACAGTATATAACAGTACAGTGTCATGCAAAATATCTACTCTTACTGAATAAGTCACACATGCGCGGTGACCGCGACCAGCAGTGAGGTGGAGTGGAACCACCTGGTGAAGCACCTGTGGGGTATGAGATTGTTTGGTTCACACTCAGGATGGGGTGGAGAAAGGAAACTCACAATGTGCTCTCTATATACATGTTGTATTGGATGTACAATGCAGCTTGGTGCTGGGAAGGCAGCATGGTTACAAGCGTGATGTAGAGAGAGCTGGTTGGTGAGGATGCTCACAGGAGGACAGCTTGTGGGTCGCCATGCTCGCCAGCGGGAGAGAGGACCGCCAGGCAGGCGGAGGAGCGAGGACCGCCAGGCAGGCGGAGGAGCGAGGACCGCCAGGCAGGCGGAGGAGCGAGGACCGCCAGGCAGGCGGAGGTGTTGCTGGCTGGTTGGTGTAGGTAGAAAGAGAGGGAGATCACCACGAGGTCAGGTCTTAAATAGCGGGGGTAGGCGTGGCATAGCAGTTGACCCCCGCTCCGTGGTGTATGGCGGCGCTGGTTGACCTAGACCACGAGGCATACACTGGGGAATTGGTGGGGTCGGCTAGGCAGCGACAAACAGCGTTTGTAGGGGAGAATTCCACTACAATACTCCCCCTTCCCTCCAGGCTGTGTAGGAGACTTGTTGTCTGCAGGGTTGCATAGCACATGTGAGGCAGAACAGGCGGTGCGTGCCTCATGTGAGACAACGGCGATGGCGTGGATGAGCCGGTCGCTGGGGACAACTGTCTAGATACACAATATCTGTGGGAGTAGAGAGGGAGAATAAGGGTGTGTGGAGGCGATGAATGTTGTGCTTCCCTCACGGCAGGTACAGAGTCGTCAGATGCGCCTGCTGGGGTGTGTGGGCCTGGGTCAGGAGCAGGGGCTGCGTCAGCAGAAGCGGATGAGGGCTCGTGACAGCAGCTGGGTCCACGACAGCAGCAGGGTGCAGGACATTAGCAGGGTGCAGGACATTAGCAGGGAGTACCTGAGGGAGAAAAGAGGGGTGTGTGGGTCCGCACTCAGGAACAGAGGCCGCATCAAGGGCGGCAGGGGTTACTGCTGGGCCGGGGTCGGCGTCTGAGGCAGGACGGGTGTGCTGGGGTCGGTAGGACGTGGTGCTTAGGGCAGGAAGAGGAGCTGGTGTCTGCTTAGAGTAGCAGAGCTGCTCTAGGGTGTCTAACCTGCGGTGTAGAGACAGTAGCTGTAGAGCCGATGAGAGCTGCTTCTGGGTGGATAAGCCAGTCTTCCATGTTGCTTGAAGACTGGGAGCGTGATCAGTTTCTCCTCCATCCTGTGTGAGTGCGAATCTCCGGGAGTCACCATTTGTGGGGTATGAGATGTTTGGTTCACACTCAGGATGGGATGGAGAAAGGAAACTCACAATGTGCTCTCTATATACATGTTGTATTGGATGTACAATGCAGCTTGGTGCTGGGAAGGCAGCATGGTTACAAGCGTGATGTAGAGAGAGCTGGTTGGTGAGGACGCTCAGAGAAGGACAGCTTGTGGGTCGCCATGCTCGCCAGCGGGAGAGAGGACCGCCAGGCAGGCGGAGGAGGAGAGGGCCGCCAGGCAGCGGCAGGAGGAGTGTTGCTGGCTGCGGCTGTAGGTAGAAAGAGGAGAGATCACCACGAGGTCAGGTCTTAAATAGCGGGGGTAGGCGTGGCTTAGCAGTTGACCCCCGCTCCGTGGTGTATGGCGGCGCTGGTTGACCTAGACCACGAGGCATACACTGGGGAATTGGTGGGGTCGGCTAGGCAGCGACAAACAGCGTTTGTGAGGGAGAATTCCACTACACCCACAATATAGTCTTCACCAGTTGGTTCCACTCTACCCTGCTCTGGTCGCGGCCGCACCCACCTATTTCGTGCGATAGATATTTTGCATGACACTGCGTTTACAGATTTCTCCGCTTCAAGTGAATGTATTACATTAATTCAACGCCCTTGTAAAGGGGTGCCAACACGGTTTTATTGTCGGGACGCTCTCGCTTAACACAATTACCTACGGTGCTGAATGTTTAGACTCAAATTCTGGAACATGGTGGCAGTTTCGAGAATGTGTTTATGGGCTTTGCCAAGGGCTTCGACAGCGTAACCCATAATGTTACGGGATTTGGGTAAGTGTCCTAGCAAACACTGTGTGGTGATTAAAGAGAATGAACTGTCTTAAAAGACGATTAATTTATATTTATACTGAGGGTCCTTGAGCTTGTTTATCTTATGACTCCCTCGTGTTTACAAGGCTGATTCCTCGCTTTGGATTGTATCCTTAGCGATAGATGGAGACCAAGAATAATGACATTTTTGATAGGTGTTTGTACGAGTTCGTAGCAAAAAACTGATATATATATATATATATATATATATATATATATATATTAATTTTCGCCATTTATCAGCTTACCAGCCCATCGGTCGGTTGGTATATGATCTATCCAGTGTTTGTACAGGAGGAAACCGGGTACTGGGAAACGTGATGTTTGGTAGGTGAACGGAAACATAAGTCATAGGGAAAAAGGTCACATGACTTGTACACATTGACAACACATTATATATATGATGGCATTGCACGTAGGTTAGGTTATTTCCGTGCCTTTTTTTCTGTGACTTTTTTCCTGGATTCGTTTGGTAGGGTCACACTGGATAACACCCATCCCACGTGCGTCCGTTACCGTTGCTACAGCCTTAACTGCATAACACTGTTGATTCTATGAAAGCAATTAGGGTTACATCTTTCTGTAACTTCAGTATGACAAACTTCTTTGGTAGACTGGAAACAAGAGTTTACTGGTGATGAAATACCACATGATTCAGTTAAGTTTTGGGTTACTGTGGATAAATATGAAAATGCTGCTGGAGTCAATCTGTTTTTCTAAACTTATGCAGATGGTTTTGAATGCTCATGTATTGCCATTAAATAATACTTTTGTGGAGATAATTTTTTCCCGGCCTAACAAATACCAAGACAAGCAAGAAACAGGTTCTCCTAAGAAACCATGGAAGCTGTGTTACTAATTAAGAGTCATCTTGCTGGTGATAAAATATGCTACAATAAGTTTCAAATAACTCATAAGATGCTTAGTTTGTTCAACAACTCGGTGTACAAGAGCAGCAACTGCAGGAATGTGAAGATTTTGAGGAAATAATGCAGGTTACTTACCAGAGACGCCTTCAAACTGGACAACACTTGGTATTGATAATTATAATGTATAATCTAAGTTTCTTTCAATATATACAGTCGGTAAAATATTATCCTCATCCTTACTGTGTGATACAGTATGACAAAACAAGAAAGTTTTGATAGAGCCAACAGAGACGTAACCGATCACCTAAGCGGCTAACGAGCCGATCAGTGGTGGAGAGAATAAAAGTAAAGTAAAAGTAACGATTGGTATCCCTTTTTTTTTAGTTTAACAAATTTATTGGCAGAGCTTGTAGTATAGTTTGCCTATTCTGAGTAATTCAGTCAGGTCTTGGTATCCCTGCTCTTTTTCATTGTTAGTCATGTATTATGATTTAAAATTATTTGTTATATACTTTTGTAGGCCTAATAATTAATATGATCAAGATTAATTACACAGCATTTGGTAAAATAGGGGTTTAGCCTTATATTTGACCATTTTAGAAAAAATGTTTGGCCTATTTTAGAAACTCAAACCTGACATCCTGAATAGGGTACACATGTATGACGTCACTACTCTCAGCCACTTCTCCAGCTGACGTCCGGGAAAACCTCACAACCTTCACCTCTGTCAGCTGCTCAAACTCTCCCGCTGTGTATTATAACGGGAAAAGGTCTCTTATATATTACTGACTCATTCTTGGCTATAGTTAATGTTAGTTCTTATATTAGGGGTTAATTTTATATGTTTCATGAATTTAAAAGAGGCATGATATTCACACGGAATAAATATGTGGAAAAAAGCCTTATCACCATCTTGAGTATACTGTATATACACAGTTAACTTATAAGCAGCTTATCTTACAATTCAGATACTATTTTCATTACATGGTGCATAGAGCGAGTCATAACTCATCCCAACTGAACCAAGTTGTGAAATATTTCCACGTCTGGAGAGTTTCGTAGAATTTTAGTTCAGGGGCAAAGCTTATTATTTTTTTATTTTAGTTTTTGACATCTTTATGCTTTTACGGCGGTTTTTGACGTGTTTTGAATGATTTTGATCTTACCTAACATACCGTACGCTAACCTAACCTAACTTAACTTAATGTAATATAAGAAAATCATCAGAAAAAGATTTATATTGATTGAGTGTAGTGAATTTCCGGAATTCTGTTGTTGCTGTTTACTGTAATATTACCGCCACAAAATCCAGGAACTATATCTAACCTAACCTAAATTCCTAAGATTCCCCGGATGACCAAAACTAAATACCTTTTTTTAATAATATTTTGATTTGGTAGCATATATTTCAATATGTACTTGGTGGTCCCCAGTACTTTTGAAACTAATTATAGTTCAACAGTGTTGGGTGGTGATATTGTAGGTATATAGTGCAGTTAACGGGTTGTCCGGTCTTCTTGGACTATTCCTTGACACCGGGTCATGCAGCTCGTTAACTCAGTGTGTGGTCGTTGTGTTGGCGACAGCTTCTACACCTTAAACAAATCCACGCCTAGTTGGCCCGTGGGCTGGCCATCCTCGTTACATGTGGGGCAACCATTATAGTCCTGCATTAACCCACAACTTTAACATTTTCTATATCATGTTTCTTACTACAAGAATCTCCCAAAACAGGTGGAGGAATTGTTAATTTTGGTGTAATTTTATTTCTTAATCAGTTTGCACATAGGCTTCTCAGTCATTGACCGGACGCTTCCCAGCAACCTTACCTAACCAAACCCACCTGACCTAACCTAAAATAATTTACTAAATGTAACCAAAGGTAAAATAGTTCATCCTAGGATCAGTTTGTTTAGTTGGTTAATTTTATCGAAAGCAAATCATATAATGTAAACACATTAGTATGGCTTTACTGAGGGTAATACTTTATGAAACTGATTTGTGAAAAGGAGCACCTTTACGAAAAATTTCTACAGAAGAAAAGTGTTTTCTTCTCTTTTGAATATCAAGGAACCAGTGGAATAATTGTTTTTGTTTTTTTGTTAAGAGTGAAAGTAGTTCATGCATGTGTGGATACCATAATCACATTCCTTCTGTTGATGTTGAGATAACAAAATTATACCCTAACCAACCTACCTGACCTAATGTAGAATAATGCACTTCCATCCTTGGATAGCTGCATAGAAGCAGCTTAGATATAAAACTGCTAAGGCAAAATCACCTAGCTAAACCATTTCCACACTAACCTGGCCCTTAGGCCCTACCCCTCTTCTGTACTAATAGCTGATTGGTTCATAGAAAATTCAAACTAAATGTGTTCACAATTAGTAAGTAGACCTGTTATTATGTAAAATAATGTTAAATATATTGGACTATCAAAATGCAAATCATTTCTAGGCATTAGCACTTCAGAGAGGATGTTAGAATTTAAATATTTATTATAAAAGGTCGATATAAATACATGCTTATACACGCGCAGCCTCTGGGCATATTTCTTAGCCTGTGTTAAGGGCAGCAAACTTTGGAAGTGGTGAGGAGTTAGCAACTGGGTGGCTGTGTGGGTGTACTGGTGGCAGGGTCAGTAAACAAAGCCCTGCACTTCCCCTCACGACTGCCTCACTTCACTTTCTCTCCATATCACACCTTGCGTAATGGCATTAACTGACTTGGAAGAGTGTTTTGGGGGGACAGAGGTTGCTGAAATAGGCTAATGTGGCTTGAGAGGTTGAAATTTTGTCATTTTAAATACTGGACACAGTATAAATACTTTTGGGTTATTTCAGTCAAATTCTTTGATGTACAGTGATCCCTCGGTTAACGAGCGCCTCGTTTAACGAGATTTCGGTTAACGATTTACCTTCCATAAGATTCTTAACTTCGGTTAACGAGCAATCCCTTGATTAACGAGTTTTTTACGAGCTGACTTCAACATGATTTCGCTTGCATTTGGCGGTCCACCAGCTGTAGTATTAGTACGCCAATACAGTAATTGGTTTTAGGGCTTAAATTCCTTACTATTTTAGTAAATATCAAGAAGTTTATACTATTCAATAATTTTAAAAGTTTAATATTAACTTTTTTAGTCTCTCTGTTTTCAATGGAGGTAACGTCTTGCTTGAGACTCTCTTCAACTAAATGCTTTTTTTCTGTTTCCAAGCAAATTATTGGTCATTTTGAAATTTATTTTACATATTGACAATATATAATGCAGTGCAGTGTTGATTTAAAGAAAATAATCTTGAATTACACCAAGAGAACTAAAATTATATGGGTGAAATGGTGCCATGGGGTGACTTCTCTTCCACCCCAAAGCCTTCTCTTCTTCCTTCTCCTCCACCCCCATTTTAATTCCCATCATCATCATCCAGGAGCCTTCTACATACACACCTCAAAGTAAGTGTACTTTTCTACCTTTTTTGTTGAATTTGGGCAATTTTTGGTGAGCTGGAACCAATTACCCAAAAACCCATTGAAACAATGGTTTCGTTTAACGAGTTTTTCGGTTAACGAGCAACCTGCTGGAACGGATTGTGCTCGTTAACCGAGGGACCACTGTACATACCGTAATAGACTGCTCAGAGACGGCCACTTATAAGAAGGTTGTTCAAATTTCTAGACGGTCCGTCCCTCGTAACGATCTTCAAGATTGAGGTGCTTCCGCATCTGGAGTACTGTCACCCTTTCTGGTCCCTGAGATATGCTAGGGACTGTCAGTTGATTGAAAATGTCCAAAGGAGGGCCACCAGACTGGTGCCTGCATTCCAGCACTTCAGCTACCCTGAGAGATTAAAGCGCCTGAAATTGCCAAGCTTATACTACAGACGGGCAAGGGGTGACCTAATTGAGGTGTATAAACATCTCAAAGGGCACTACTGTACTCAGTCGAGTGCCCTTACCTGGAGCTGGCGGACAATTGCCCCACAAGGAGTCACAGCTCAAGGTTGAAGAAGCCACAAGCCCAGAAAACTGTGAGGGGTAACTTTTTCGGAGTGAGAGTTGTGAACTCTTGGAGCAATCTGCCAGAGAGTGTTGTGACGGCACCGAGTGTGAGCTCTTTCAAGACCAGACTTGACGAGCACTGGAGCAGGTTCAGATACATTCAGAAGCCAGTACATACCCTGTACAGTACTTGCTAACAGTGTGTAACAAAGACGTGACCGATCACCCAAGCGACTAACAAGTCGATCAGTGGTGAAGAAGATAATGTAAAAAAGTAAATATATGAATTTGACCAGTTATGGGTTGAATCAACACTAAAATATGGGGGGTTTTCTATGTTGATTTTTCATTTAAATAAACTTTTACTCCTGGTTTGGGGATCCTTTCTTCTCTCAGTAAAAGAGACCACCTTCCTGTTTTCTTTACAAGATTTAAATCTGGCTTGTGGGTCAGAGGCCTGTACTGTTCCATACAGAAGTGGAAAAGATTTCAAATGGGATGTTAACTTATTTGGTTTAGTGCACAGTACATTACTGTACATTAAAAGAAGGAAAATTTTCAGTACATTATAGTACAGTACTGTATGTTTTAAGTTTAAGGGTTGATGATAATGCTTGGGTAGGCAGAATAGCTGTCACCTGCATACTACACAAAAGATAATTATCAACACCTGAAGTCTTTGTGTGAAAGCTCTGTTATTATTGAAGTTGAATTTTAATGAAGGAAACAGGAAACACAGTCATCACCCACAATAGATCAGTTGTCATTCGGAATTTTACATAAGATGGCAGGTCATTGAAAAAAGAAAATGCTTAAATTCACTATGGTAATGATATTTTTATATACATTGGGCCAAAAAGTGGAAAAAATAAAGGTTAAAGTTGCTAAAGAGTCAGGTGACTGTGAAAAGATCTGTGATTGGTTGTGACATCACAGGTTGGCTCCCTAGAGGCAGCCAGCTGTGGTGTATGTGTTGTTACCAGCAGAAATACAGGACCTGTTGATATACACAGTCATACCTTATTTTTAGGTTATAATAAATTACTGCTCAAGTATCATCGTGTGTATTTACTTGCTGGCTGCCACAATGATGCACAAGACCGATAACTCCAACATGGAAGTTTTCATCACTGTTCTCTATTTCATGTCTGGAAAATTTAAGTTTTTGTAACTGATGTCTATATTTAATGTTGTGGAAGGACTAGGGACGACCATGGCCAGGGAATGATCAGATGACAGACGTAATTTAACGTGCTTCATAGCTGGATGGCGGAGTTATTGATAATACTCTACTATCATAATGACATCTACTTTTGGTTAATTTCTTTCATCTGCCTTGATGAACCCTGGAAGTAGTTGTCCAACCTTCTCAGCTGATTGGCGCTGTAAATAAATATTATTAGATAATTAATTGTGCTTTACTGTGCAACACAGTAATACTATATTGAATATATAAATATTACGAAGCACATTAATTAATTCAATGGATATTAGCTGCCCCTACAACAAATTTCATCGTATAAACATTCCAAATAATATTGGTATTATTTTGATTTTGGTCATCTGGGGAACCTTAAGATTCTAACTATAGGATTAAGTGCTTTGAAAAATAAGACACATTTTCTCTACAGGATTTCTGTCGCAAAACATTTTTCGATCTCATAAGAAAATACAGATCATATGTTAGGTTAGGTTTGGGTATAAAGTTATAAGGTTAGCTTAACATACATCGGTAAGGTAGTAACGCAAAACTAGTGATTTCCGATATAAATGAAGGTCTAAGTCGTCCATAACACATCGCAAACCATCAGAAAAAACACAGTCTGCATGTCTAAGTACAGTACAGTGATGACCAAAACTTAAATTTACCCATTATAGCCTTTCTCGAATATAAACATCCAAATACTTATGGAAGTTAAAATAAAATTTGACCCATTAATTATTATAAATGATGATATATCCCAATGCATTCTCAAAACAAAGTCCAGACAATGTCATGAGTTCTAAATTTACTGGTATCTCCATCTAGTACTGACATACTCTGTAAATGCACTGGAAAAGAAAAAGAATATCTACCAGGTAAGAATACATGACAGTTGAGCTGGTGTGAACAGGGGAGTATTTTATGTCCATAAGCTGCTCTTCACGGCACATTTCTTCACTTACAAAATGTCCATGACTTAGACCATAAAAAACACCCTTAAAACTTACCTGAATGTGGCATTTGGGGTCTGAAGAGGCCGTCCTTTGTAATACCTACGACTACTGCAGCGGTGAGTTTGTTGGAGAACGTTGTTTGCAGAGAAACTGTTGATGTCATTGCAAATGGCGACCCTGTTTCTAGAGAAATAAACTTATCTCAACTATTATAACAGGACTTTAAACTTTCGTTACAAATTATACATACTGTATCATTCTACGGACGTAGCAGAGTGTATTTCTTGTGTTTACCCAGAACCGACAATTAGGTGAAATTTTAAAATATTTATTCTTGAGTAAGTAGGAATAAAAAAAATGGATAATTGGCCAGAGGAACAGTAGGGAAGAAAAAGGCTACGTGAACATTATTATGACATTAATTATATGACTACTGTACTATATTTCTTTGTTCTTTTCCAGAAAACTCTAACCATGGACAAGGCATTGATGAGAGAGCGGGAGGCCTTCAGGAAGAAGGCCTTCGCTGCGACGTGAGTTACTGTACCTCCTGTTGAATACTTTCTCTCTCTATGATATAACAACTTATTTTAGGGGCAATAAAAATCACAAGTAGAATTAAAGGTGCATACAGTTGATTACTTAAATTGACGTCTTTCCTCTACATGTTTTTTTTTTTTAATAGATAATTGTTTTAACTTCAGGCTGGAGGTGAAAAAGAGGAGCATCGCACCCCCGACTTCCGAGCCAGTCAAGAAGAAGGTCAACAAAGCCCCGCCGACGACGGATCCTTCTTCGTAAGATGTGATTGTTGTGTTGACTTTTCTCTTGTGTTGTTTGTTTAGTGTGTTATCTCCTTAGACTGTTGTTAGGTCAGGTTAGTGTAGGTTAGGTTAGGTATGGTTAGGCTAGGATAGGATAGATTAGTTTAGGTTAGGATAGGATAGATTAGTTTAGGTTAGGATGATAGGAATAGTTAGGTTAGGAATGATTAGGTTTGAACACAAGACCATAAGAATGGAGGAAACTGCAGCGGGCCTATTGGCCCATACTGGGCAGTCCCATTTACACCCAACCCCTATTGCTCATATAAGCATCCAACCTATGTTTGAAGCTATCCAGCGTATTCAAGTTAATGATGATATTTGGTAACTTGTTCCATTCATCCACTACTCTGTTACCATACCAGTGTTTACCTATTTCTCGCCTAAATCTAAATTTGTCTAATTTAAAACCATTGTTACGAGTTCGCTCCTGGTTGGATAGTTTGAGTACCTTTGTAATGTCCCCTTTGTTCAGCCCTGCCTTCCATTTATACACCTCTATCATATCGCCCCTCGCTCTACGTCTCTCGAGGGAGTGCAAATTAAGATGCTTTAACTTGTCTCTGTACTCAAGGTTCCTAATGCCCGGGATTAGTCTTGTCATTCTCCTCTGAATTCTTTCCAAGGATTCTATATCCATTCTGTAATACGGTGACCAGAACTGAACTGCGTAATCCAAGTGAGGACTCACAAGCGCAAGATATAGTTTTAGGATAACCTCGCTAGTCTTGTAACTAACACTTAAATTAGAATTTAGTTAGATTATGCTTGTTGGTTAAAGATAGATTAGGTATATGGTATTGGTTAGGTTAGGTTTGATTTGTTGGTTAGGTTTGATTTGTTGGTTAGGTTAGGTTTGGCTTGTTTGTTTATTTTGTACAATTTTCTGCAATTTATTCCCCAATATTTCACTCACTGGAGTCTGGGTTGTTGTAAGCATCGAAGGCTTGGCTACAGTAGACTGCAATAACCTCTCAATTTAGACAGGTTCGGTTTCTTGTGATTGTCTGTACAGTAATGCATCACATAACTTTAAAACCAAGATTTGAAATATACGACTCCCATTTTATGTTACAAGGGCATTTCAAGTTAATTTTTCCTTTTCCAATTGCAGAGATTAACAGAAAAAAGTTAATGACCCTTAAAATATCATAATATAGATACTATACAATACTGTAGATTAAATATTGAAGAACTGCAGTGGCTCTTCAGGTGTCCATCCACCAGCCAATCAGCTGTCTTGCTACAGGTTGACCCTTGGCCTCAGTTGCAAGGTTTAAGTGTTCAGAGTTTGTATACTGTAACATGTTGTGGTACCGTTTTTCCCTTCCAAAGTGAGATTTTCGTAGGTTTAATATACATCAGGTGTTTCAAGAACATAACCCTCAAGTTAATCAAGAGTTTGTTGTGCTCAAAACAGTTTTATGAGAAATTTACATTATGGTTCAGTGACTTTATAGTTGAAGGAGTTACCAGTTTACAGTAATATCTCCGTTAGCCAGAATCCCCATCAGCTGGAACTCTCCAATAACCGGAATTGAAATTGGCTTGGAATTTTTTGGAAAAATTCTTTCAATTCTGGGTCTGCAGACAAGTTTCTGAGAAGACCTCTCCAAATCTCCCCGTTCTGGGCCTGGGAACAGAAAATTTTAATTATATTCCTTTTTCATATAGACGAATTTGGATTTGGTGAGAACATCTCAAAGGTATTTTTACTCTGCATAATTAAACAAAATTATAAGTATTCATCTATTTTCATCCTTCCCATTGCCTATCATTTATAAAGTAAATAGCAGCAAGGAAGTAAGTCATATTGCTAGCAGCCACACGGTCCACACTGGGCAGATGCAAATTGAAAATATAAAACGTGTTAGAACGTGTTCCGTCTGTTACAGCACCACGGTGGAGCAGGACTTTGACCCCCTACTCTTTGCATGTATTGGTGTCCCCCCCCCCCCAAACAAAATCTGAAATGACACCCCTGAGGGAATAAATTTTCAGGGAGTTCTGAGAGACTGCATATTGCTCCGACGCATCCCCACGTGTCAGGCGCATGGGTGGTCCAGCTGCTTGAATTGCTTAGTTCATATTCTGCTGACATTGTAGAAGGTTGTTCCCTCACTAACTGCAGTTTGTGTTGTGCAGTACTGTACATTACTGTACCAGAACAAAATCAGTCAAGAATACAGTGTTAAAGCAGTGTTAAGACTGAATAAGGTGATTACATTTAAGTATATACTGTACTGTAAGTGGGAAACACTGGAGCACCTTTGCTTTTGTCTTTATTCATGACATCTTCAGGCCTTGAGACCCACTATTCACTCACCCGTACAATGGGTGACCTGACATTACATCAGGTCAGGTCAGTAACATGACCCACTATTCCCCCTTACCACCTCCATCGCAAGTGTTAAGACGGGATTACAGTTACTTAATAGATTCAGCCGGGTGAACAGTGTATGCCTACTCTAGATTCAAGATAACAGCATCTGCTGGTGCGTACAGTATATATAGTACATGAGTAGTATGCATTATTATGTTTACAGTATTAACAGTATATTGTACGTGTACATTGGTGTTTGCGTAAATAAACAGTGCTGTATTCTCATTACAGGTACAAATCCATGACAGGAGGGAGTCAGTACAAGTTTGGTGTGTTAGCAAGAATTGTTCGTCACATGAAAACTCGACACCAAGATGGAGAATCCCACCCACTGTCTATTGATGAAATCTTGGATGAGACAAACCAGCTGAATGCTGGACCAAAAGTCAAACAGGTAAAGATCAGCTGGAGAAGATATTTTATTGTATTTAATATAATATATATACAGGCCTGACAGTGAATGAGGTAAAACCAAAAGTATTTATTCGTGGTGTATTGAGGGACCAGTGGTAGAAAGTGGAAATGGCCATGTGTTGTATGGAAGAAAATTTTTGGCAGCAACTCAGTAATGTGGAAGGTGGGTACACACGTGGTGTACTGGTGAGAATGGCAAACTGCAGGATGTTGCTGACTTAAGTGTCCTGTATGTGCAGTTAACTATGTGGCATTAGTAAGACTGGAGAAACTCAACATTAGGGAATACTGTATTTCCCTGGATTGTGTAGATGAGTTCTGTGACCTGGGTGACATGATCAGTGTTGGTAGGAGTGCTGAAGCCTGCTCAGTTGCAAGAGTCAGAAGTGGCTTGAGCTGCTGCCTTTATTGACGGCAAGACCTTCCTTCTGCAGAGAAATACGGGCAGTTAAAGAGGACATATGCAGGCTTGAGTGAACTGAAATGAGAATAGTGAGGTGGATGTGTAATGTGTTGCTGAAACACAGGGGGCCAGAGTTAAGAGGGTGGCTGGTTATTATGAGTATTGGTGAAGTACTGTGTAGAGGCAGGCTAAGATGGTACAGGGATGTTGAGGAAAAGGATAAGATCACTTGGGTCAAGAGATGCTTGAGCCTAATTATGGAGGGGAGGGGAGCCAGAGGTAGGCCAAGAATGACATGGGGAGGAGGTTGTAAGAAATGACATTAGAGTTAAGAATCTGACAAGAGAGACTGCAGGAGACCATGCAGCATGGAGAACTGCCATCAGATAATTGCAGCTAACCCCCACAAGGGTGGAAAATGGCCTTAAAACTTTAATGGTAATAAGTGTATCTCAAATAACTTGTATTTTATGCTAATTATGTTTTATACATTTCTGAGTGATTGTAATGGCCTCTTGGAAGAGCCTGCCTTATGTTACAGGGTCTTGATAGTTTAAAGCATGATATGGTATTCAGACACTTTTTTTTTAGCTTCAGGTAATCTTATAACCATATGAAATCAGTCAATGCTTTAATCCCACCTGGCAACCTTCTCTTTTCTGGGTAACTGATGGTTGCTCAGCCTTATCACCACTTAATGTAAAGTCTTATAGTTGCCTGTTCAGTGAAGTTGGCTGAGTGAGTACATGTACCTCTTGACCACCACTTAGTTTACATTCCCTCACTCACTCATAAGTCACATGCTCTCTTTGCAGAATTTACTCTCATACAGAGTTGAATTTACCTCAGCCGAGCAAGATCAGGTGAATAATTTAAATGATTTTGCAGCCAGGGAAATACTAACTCAGCACAGTGTTTATATCTACTCACTAACAAATCATGCCCCTTAATGTAGGGGTGATAATTAGGATACCAATGGCTAGAAACTTACGGAATACATAATTAATGATGTGTGAAGGATGAAAAGTGAGCAATTGGCCAATGTTGCACTTTGGGTTGTAAGTCCGAACTTGTGACAGTCAAGAAGTATAAGGGCAGGAACATAAACTTCTTTTTATTAGCAGAAAATGGTTTAAGTTGAATACGTCCCGTGGTTTTCTGTCCCCAACCTGAAGCCATAGAAAACCACCGTGTCAAGCGGGATTGAAGTATCATCCTCGAGTCGACTGGGATAATTAACCTGCCATTAAACATGTCAAGGTCCTCTGGGAAAAAGCAGCTGTGCCAAGAGATATTTAACAACATGGATATCACAGGTCACTCATTTCTTCCCTTCATTCATAAAATAGGATCTCATACATTAAATTTGTATTTATATATAATATGTTGTTCTTGTGTTACAGTGGCTTATTACAGAGGCTCTACCTCATAACCCAAAAGTACAAGATATAGATGGAAAATATCTCTTCAAACCTCCACTACCAGTCAGAGACAGAAAGTCCCTGTTGAAGCTCCTCCGCCAGCATGACATGAAGGGTCACGGTGGAGTACTGCTGGATGACATTCAGGAGTCACTGCCACATTGTGACAAAGTCATGAGAGTGAGACACTTCTTTTTTCCCTAACTTCTTGAGATGAAAATGTCACTTTTACTTTTTCACTATAAAAATAAGAAAGGCTTACTATTGATCACTTAACTATCTAGATACAGCAGAAGGAAATCTTACCCTTGATGTTTTTTTCATCCAAATGTCATATAATTTTGATAGTCATTTGATTTTATATATTTTCTCCAAATTTAACTGAAAATCCTTTCTCTCTTTTTTTTTTACTACAGCAATTGGATAAAGAAATACTGCGGATAATAAGACAGACGGACAAGAAACAAATCATCTTTTACCACGACAAAGGCATCAACTTCCCCGTAGAAAAGGAGTTTCAGCAGCTGTGGAGAAACACCTCTGTTGACGGCCTGCAAGATGACAACATTGAAGAGTATCTCAACAAACAGGTGTGTTAAACCCACCCACCTCAGCTGATCTATTAATACCACTCTGAAATTAACCTAATCTAATCTGACTCGACCTAACCCAACCTGATTTAGCCCATCCTGACATAACACACCCTGTCTTAACCTATGTTATGTAGACAGTTTATATTGTAGACAAATTATGACCTCTGTTTATATGAGTAAGAGTTTAAGATGACTCAAGCAGGTAGTGACTTCCATCGACCACAAACCATCTTCACCTTCAGGAGCTCATGGTAATTATGTTATCCTTCCCCACAGGGTATCAAATCTATGCAAGACACGGGACCTAAGGTTAAGCCCATCAGAAGAAAGGTGAGGAAGAACAGAGCGCGGGCGACAAAGATCTCAGACAACGAACACATGCAACACGTCCTGCAGAACTACGACGCCCCTTAGTAGACCTAGCTCTGAGGCGATATAGAATGCGAATGAACGTTTTATATAGCTTATTTTTCCATATCGTATTTTATTAAAGGGGTAGAAAAGTTCCGAGGCTCTACAGTGTCTTTCGTATTTTGTTTGATAGGGAAACTGTAGAAGGATTATTTGTCACATGCTTTTGCCGATTGGAAAATTTTATGATATAATTTGATTAATATATTTCAAACGTCATCTAATGTTTATATTCTATGTTTGATTTTCATATGATTTTATTATTTATGACTATGTATGGTAATGAAATATATGAGTACCGGTAAGCAGAGGGGCGCCTTCGGGTGCTCATATCCAGTATTATCACGATATGCCGTCAACAAGGTGCGGGTGTGTCAGTAGTGTTTAAGAAATATGGTTTGCCAAACACCATGTCTGTAAGTGCCATGAAAGTTACAGTATTACTTGGTATTGTTTTAGTCTGATATAATTAATTTACTTTTTTTTCTGGATTGTTGTTTTTACTGTTTATCTTTGTTCAGCTGGTGGTATAGGACCTTCTTGAGCTATAGTCATGGCCTTTTGTATACAGTATTTGTATAGCTGTATTCATATACGGTACAGTACAACATTGTTTCATTAACATTTCCATATATCTTCCAGGGTGTTGACACAGAGATCATGGTGTTAGAATTCATAATGATTTCTATGAATTTCTTTAGACTGTGGCAGCCATCTTGTAATATTTTTGTACTGGCTCCTGATTGGCTAAATTTCTTAACACTGTGGAAACCTTAGCAGAAGGGTTTCATGTCTCTGCTATGATCACATGCCAGCTGAACACTAGAGGTCTTCAGAGGGCCTCTTAATTTACTGACTTTTACTGAAATGTTAGCAATAGTTCATAAAAGGGAATGTCTTCTATGATTACACAATAGTAATGGTCTGGGTAATATTGGTAAATGTTACAATAATATAACTACATCCAAGTAAAGTCCATTCATGATTGGTTGAAGTAGTTATTGGCTGCCTTAGCTGTGGTATGTTTGATCCTGGTCTGTTTGGTATAGACATTGATTGGAACAGATTGGAGAAGTCTGTGATATTAGCAAGTCATAAGCAGTAGTGAATTGTATGGCTAAATGTATGAGGTGTAAGGTAATAGCACAAACCAAGCACTGTGACACGAATGCCTTTGTAACCTTAGGCAACTGAGGACCTACAAGATAAACTACAAACACTGAAGCAAAATAGGATTGTAGAAAGGGCTGGGAGTGGTACTGTAGAGTGTTTTGGTCAAGTAGTTGGATGAGAAAGGTAGGTTGTAAGGAGTTAAGGATTGTGGTAAGAATAGCTAAGGTAAGGTATGTGATATTCAGTTGACTCGAGTAAGGAAAAGGGAACCACCATCAGTGTAGTATATTTAGATGAGACAAGCTGGGGACTTTATCTATCAAGAACATCCCCACAAGAGGATTACCTTAAGAAACAAGATACCATAATAATAACAATTGGATTGATTTTATTTTTTATGCTTTCAAATATCCAGATTTAATGAGTCTCTTGTGTATGACTTCCTTTCACAAATCCCAGGTGTATTATGAATGTTATTAATTAAGTCTCGTAATGCCCCACATGATTGATATAAACTCGTTAATAATTTTGATAAATATTGGTCTTTGAAAATCATGTCTGTTTAAAGTGTTCTCACATTTTCTTGATATGTAGAAGGAAACTTGTTGCTCTGGTTAGTTTGTGAATATAGAATTTTTTTTTTTTTATAATCTTAACTGTGATTTGGAAAAGGTTATAGTTGTGTCATTAAGCTGACCATCATGTGTATAACAGCACGGGAATATGTGAAATGGAAAGTATATGTGTGTGAGATGTACTTTTTTAATTAACATAAAGTGCAGAGAGAGATGTGACAAATGTGTAAAATCTATTCAGTGGGGCCTCTCCTTACCAGACATTGAATATATTTTGGAACACGAAGATTTAATATAAACTAGAAGTTATGTGACAAAGGAACACTACTCTGAGCTTCACACTGTAGTGCTGGTTTGGGGTGTAAAGGATTTATGATAGAGGTTTGACAGATAGGAATTTCAACAGGAAAGTCATGGACCCTTTCAGAAGCCCTTATAGGCTGAATGTGGAATCCAAATTTCTGTACAAGGAAACTTTTCTAGATTACCTAAATATGTCAACAGTTTTGTATTTTTGGGTTGTAAAAGTGAGTGGAATTTTGGCACAAAACAAACAACACTTGCTCTGCGGGAAGTGCTTATATATGTATTAACGTATTAACTAGCCAGTTGTTGCAGTTAGTTTTGTTGTTTATTTCAGATTCTTGTTTAGAAATGTACAAATGGCAAAATTTCTGAATGTGAATTACAATATTCAAAAAATAAATATTGCGCTTAAATATTCATGAGTACCTTCAGGTACTGTACTACAGAAATTGTGACAAAAGCTATGTTCAGGAAATGTACATTTTAATTAAATGAGTTTTTATAAGTAAGAAAAATTATCTTTATCCTCTGATACAGTACAAGGTTGTGTCTAATTTTTAAACCACTGTCCTTATCAGTTTTCATAGACTATCCCAGAAGGATTTACGGATTGATTTAGAATTATGTATTTCTTACCTGTTTCCTCATTTGTATACTCTTGTAACGAGTTTGGGTTTTATTTACTGTTTTATTGTTATATTAAGTAGTGTATGCTGATCAGCTGGGAGTGTGGGGCTGAGGGGAAGTGAGTGGGGCCCAGTTTGGAAAGGCAGGATTTAGTATCATGCCCAGCCACGTTCGTTTTCAATGACCGGTGCTAGTTTGTGTGTTAGGCCCTGGGGCATCCAAACACTAACTCAGTCCAGTAAAGGTGAAGCGGGCTGGGCTCCATACCCTCCACCTCTGGGGAAAACGAATTTCTGTGTGCTACTGTACAATGAGAGGTAGTGTGGGGTACGGGTTATTTGGTTCACACTCAGGACGGGATGGAGAAAGGAAACTCACAATGTGCTCTCTGTATACATATTGTATTGGATGTACAGTGCAGCTTGGTGCTGGGAAGTGGCAGCGTGGTTACAAGCGAAATGTAGAAAGACCTGGTTGGTGAGGATGCTCAGAGGAGGACAAGCTTGTGGGTCGCCATGGTCGCCGGCAGGAGCGAGGGCCGCCAGGCAGGAGGAGGAGGTGCTGGTTGGTGTGGGTGCTCAGAGGAGGACCAGCTTGTGGGTCGCCGGCGGGAGCGAGGGCCGCCAGGCAGGCGGAGGAGGAGGAGGTGTTGCTTGCTGGTGGCAGTGAGTAGAGTGGTCACCACGAGGTGTGGGTCGCCATGGTCGCCGGCTGGAGCGAGGGCCGCCAGGCAGGAGTGGAGGAGGAGGGGTTGGTGTAGGTAGAAAGAGATAGGTCACCACGAGGTCAGGTCTTATATAGCGGGGGTAGGCGTGACTTAACAGTTGACCTCAGTCGTGTAAGGCGGCTCTGGTTGCTGACCTAGACCACGAGGCATACACTGGGGAATTCGAGGATCGGCTAGTCAGCGACAAACGGCGTTTGTAGGGGAGGAATCCACTACACTATCTAAGCACTGTATGCAATCTAACTGGACTTACTTTCGAATCGGTGGACGAGGGGCACAATTATGATGTGGTATATCTCGACTTTAGCAAAGCCTTCAACAGAGTCCCCCACGAAAGACTAATTAGAAAGGTAGAAGCTCATGGCATCAAAGGTAACATCCTTAAATGGATTAGGGCGTGGTTACAGGACAGGAAACAGCGAGTGAGCATTAACGGCACAAAGTCCCATTGGAGCAACATCACAAGTGGAGTTCCCCAAGGCTCAGTACTTGGACCATTATTATTTATTATATACATAAACGACATAGATATCGGCATAGACAGCAACATAAGTAAATTTGTTGATGACACTAAAATAGGACTTCTTATTAAATCTGATGAGGACTCCGCAAAACTACAGGAAGATCTAAACAAATTTTTCGAATGGTCTGAAAAATGGCAGATGGAATTCAACGTGGACAAATGTAAAGTACTCAGTATAGGAGATGTAAACAGGGAAACCAGATACCAGATGAACAACAATGCCATAGAGAAATCCGACTGCGAGAGAGATTTAGGATTAATGATAAGTAGGAACCTTAAGCCAAGTAAACAATGTGTTTTTGCTCGTAACAAGGCTAATAAAGTACTTGGGTTCATACAGAGGAGTGTTAGTTACAAGACTAGCGAGGTCATCCTAAAACTGTATCTTGCTCTTGTGAGACCACACCTGGATTACGCAGTTCAGTTCTGGTCACCGTATTACAGAATGGATATAGAATCCTTGGAAAGAATTCAGAGGAGAATGACAAGACTAATCCCGGGCATTAGGAACCTTGAGTATAGAGACAGGTTAAAGCATCTTAATTTGCATTCCCTCGAGAGACGTAGAGCGAGGGGCGACCTGATAGAGGTGTACAAGTGGAAGTCAAGGCTAAACAAAGGGGACATTACAAAGGTACTCAAACTATCCAACCAAGAGCAAACTCATAACAATGGTTTTAAATTAGACAAATTTAGATTCAGGCGGGAAATAGGTAAACACTGCTTTGGAAACAGAGTAGTGGATGAATGGAACAAGTTACCAAATATCATCATTAACTCGAATACACTGAATAGCTTCAAACATAGGTTGGATGCTTATATGAGCAATAGGGGTTGGGTGTAAACGGGACTGCCCAGTATCTGCCAATAGGCCCGCTGCAGTTTCCTCCATTCTTATGTTCTTATGTAAGTAATGTGACTACTTGAGGCAATCCATCGGGGACCGGCGGGTGAGGGAACAAAGTGACTTGTGCCACCTTCAAGCGCCCTCCCCGCTCTCAGGAACTGTACTTACTGTTAAAATATGTCCCGCTTATCCTTTATTTCTTCTGGGGGAAAGACTAGCTCTATTTTAATATTTATTTACGTTTTTTAATTCCGTACACGAACGTCCTCCACGGCCTTCCAGTAATTATTTTAGTTATTCGTGATATGCATAATGACATTCTTCTCGTATTTTAATTATTTCCTAAGGACATGCGTAATATATTTTCAAATGCAAAACTATCCAAGATAACTTTGTTAATATTATAGCTGGCTTTTTAGCTTCGTCAACCATGTACGAATTAATTTGACAAAGTACATTTAATTTTCTTAGGCCTTTGTGGTGCCAGCTGGTCACTTAGTTCCCGACTCCCCCGCTTGGTGTGCTGCGAACAGGCCATTCAGTATGAGTGCTAACAACTCACCCGGTACCCTACTTATATTTCCTTGCTTTTTTAGGCATGTTACCCTCAACTTACGTAAATAATATATTATGTATAATTATATGTGAGCAGGGCTGGTACTTGATTATATTAAACAAATTTCTGTATATATGTGGGTATTTTTGCAGTTTAAAGTGGGAGTTGTTTAATATTAGTGTTAGGCTTGTAGTCCCCGAGGGTATGGAACTTTCGTCAGTCAGTGGCTGGCCTTGAGAGGGGGAGAACGTCTCCATTTGTCAGTGGTGGATACCTTTTCAAATAAGGTTTAGTTGAGTATTATATTCAGTGCTATTCTATTATTATTCATGGTGTGTAAACTGCAATCAAATAATGTGTTGTAAGGTGGTTTATTGTTTATACACGGTGCCAATAGTTGTTTATTAAGGATTATGATTATTCTTTATTCTCTTGATTTAACTTAAGGAACCTACACACTTATGGTAAACTGTTGTTATTTAAGTCGTCCATAATGTGTATAATTGCAAACCTTTACTCCTGAACTGTTGGGATAAGATGTGCTGAGTTGCCAATTTTTGTTGTGCTCTCATTAGTATATTAATCTTTGATGTAATTCAAGTTGATAAGATATGACATAACTAAATGGGGTCCAGTGTCCGGGAGACTTTGGTTAAAATTAAGTGAAATCAGTTAAAATCATCAGGAGTGAAGTTTGTGAGTTATTTTTGTTACAAGTTTTCTCCAATGGTCGGTAAGTTGCCATATATGTTTAATATGAAGCCTTTTGATGCAGCTAAGTTCATTGTTGAACCTTCAGTGTTAAGTTTGGAGTGTAGTACCATTCGTAAAGATGATTGGGTTTAGTTGGCTAAGCATTATAATGTAGAGATTAATTTAAACTGAAAAAGGTCAACTCGTGTTTATATATATATATATATATATATATATATATATATATATATATATATATATATATATATATATATATATATTGCATGTCTCGTGTACGCTGTTTTGAATGGCACAAACGATTTTCGGAAGGCAGAGAAACGGTGAAAGATGGTGACCGCCCAGGCCCTTCACACACAGCAGTTACCGATGACAACATTGAAAGACTGTATAAAAAGCAATTCTGCAGATCATGTTCTGAAAGGTTATTGAGGAGCTCTGTCGTTTTTGCTTTCACCTCTTCTACCGAAAAAAAAATGGTACCTTTGAGCACGGACTTGATCTTTAGGAAGAGGTAGAAGTCGCAGGGAGCCAGGTCTGGCGAATCCTCTTCACCACTGATCGGCTCGTTAGCCGCTTGGGCGATCGGTCACGTCCTGTTACGCACTGTTGGCAAGTACTGGGCACGTACCGGCTCCTGAATGTACCTGAACCTGCCCCCAGTGTTGGTCAAGTCTGGTCTTGAAAGAGCTCACACTCGGTGCCGTCACAACACTTTCTGGTAGATTGTTCCAAGAGTTCACAACTCTCACTCCGAAAAAGTTTGCCCTCACGGTTTTCCGGACTTGCGGCTTCTTCAATCTTGAGTTGTGACCCCTTGTGGGGTGAGCGTCCGCCAGCTCCAAGTAAGTACACTCGACTGAGTAGTGCCCCCCTGAGATGCTCATACACCTCAATTAGGTCGCCCCTTGCCCGTATAGAATAAGCTAGGCAAGTTCAGGCGCTCCAATCTGTCAGGGTAGTTGAGGTGCAGAAGTGCAGGCCCTCCTTTGAACATTTTCAACCAACTGACAATCCCTAGCATATCTCGGGGACCAGATGGGGTGACAGTACTCCAGATGGGGAAGCACTTCACTCCTGAAGATCGTTACGAGGGACGGACCGTCTAGATATCTGAACGACCTTCTTATAAGACCCAATAATTTATTTGCCTGATCTACCTTCTTCTCGCAATGGCCCGAGAACTTCAGCTCATTGTCAACATACACACCTAGGTCCTTCTCACATAGTCTCAAATACTGTAGTGCAGTTTCTTCATCCCGTTGGGACATATGATACGCCTCCTTACCATTGTTACGTCCCAGGTGCATCCTCTTACACTTCGTGACATTGAATCTCAGCAGCCACTTTGACCATTCTTGGAGCTCACAGAGATCCTTCTGCAGCTTTTCACAGTCCGCTTGGTTCTTGATTTCCCGAAATAACATGGCGTCATCGGCAAACATTTGTATGGAGGCGTGTACAATATCAGGCATGTCATTTATGAAACAAACAAACAAACAAACAGCGTGCCCAATGCACTGCCCTGTGGTACCCCGCTTGTGAGAGGTACAGATGATGATTTCGTGCCATTAATCACCACACACTGCTTGCGGTCATGTAGAAAGCCTTCTGTCCACGCTAGGACATTTCCCCGAATTCTGTACCCCTCTAGTTTGATTTTCAGCCTTTCGTGGGGTACACTGTCAAAAGCCTTGGCAAAATCTAGGTATATACTGTCGATATTACCACCCCGTTCCAGAATATGGGTCCAATTATCCAATACCTTGAGCAATTGTGTTAAGCAAGAGCGCCCCGGCATAAAACCGTGTTGGCAATCACTTGCAAGGTTGTTTCGTAGTAGATGTTCCATCGCGTCATCTCGGATAATACTCTCAAGTACTTTACATTTTATGCTGGTCAGGCTCACCGGTCTATAGTTGTTCGTGGAGTGACGATCGCTCTTCTTGAAGATAGGACTCACACGAGCCATTTTCCAATCACGGGACCTTTTGTTCATCCAGGCATTTACAGAACAGGATCTTCAGGGGCTCGGCAAGCTCGTTGCACAACTCTCTTATAAGCACTCTGGGATGCTCCTGGGTATTATTTTGTTTTTAATTGTTGATGACTAGTGAATTTACTTATCTAGAAAATGTGCCAGAATTCAAACAGCAGTACAAACAGCGATTCACACAGTTTACAGATTCAAGCTACAGTAATTATGCTATATCTAGGTTCAGATACAGTACATACAGGAGCCAGTGCATGCCCAGTAATTGCCACGTAACACAGATGTAACCGATCGCTCAAGCGGCCGATGAGTGGTGAAGAGGAGAAAAGTAAAAATAATAATATTTCCCATTGTTTCTGCAGGTACGGGGTCACTAAACATGGATAAACCAGTGGACATGGTGTTTAATAATGCTGGATTAGTGAAGAAATACGCCGAGTTTCGCCCTGTTCCTCCACGCTCTCTCGTCAATACAGTTGTCGACTATGTGAAGGAAAAAGTAATTATCCTCCATATTTTGTTGTCTATAAGAAGTAAAGGGAACACCAGAACTTTAGGGTGATCCGTATACATATAACCAAACGGGATAGGGTTTATTACAAGTGTAGGACAAAATTCCCTTTATTAAATTTTCACGGCATGAGTCTACTGACCCTGAGAAACAATATAAAAATGGGGTGATTTTTGTCCTTTGTAATTTAACTTGTGGGGGGTTTTGTCTGGCTACCATTTATTACGCAGGATATTAGGGTTACATTTGATTAGGGTTAGAATTAACTAGTATTCAGGTTAGAATTAACTAGTACAGTATTCGGGTTAGAATTAGCTAGTATTAGGGTTATATCTAACTAGATTAGGGTTAGAATTAACTAGATTTGGGGTAAGAATTAACTAGTATTAGGATTAGAATTGAATAGGGTTAGGATTAGAATTAACTATTAGGGTTAGAATTAACTAGACTAGGGTTAGATTTAACTAGATTGGGGTTAGAGTTAACGAGATTATGGTTAGAGTTAACTATATTAGGATTAGAATTAACTAGATTGGGGTTAGAGTTAACTAGATTAGAGTGAATTAACTAGATTAGGGTTAGAGTTAACTAGATTAGGGTTAGAATTAACTAGATTAGAGTGAGAATTAACTAGATTGGGGTTAGTTAACTAGATTAGAGTGAGAATTAACTAGATTGGGGTTAGAGTTAACTAGATTAGAGTGAGAATTAACTAGATTAGGGTTAGAGTTAACCAGATTAGGGTTAGAATTAACTAGATTAGAGTGAGAATTAACTAGATTGGGGTTAGTTAACTAGATTAGAGTGAGAATTAACTAGATTAGAGTGAGAATTAACTAGATTAGGGTTAGAGTTAACTAGATTAGGGTGAGAACTAGATTAGGGTGAGAATTAACTAGATTGGGGTTAGAGTTAACTAGATTAGAGTGAGAATTAACTAGATTAGGGTTAGAATTAACTAGATTAGGGTTAGAATTAACTAGATTAGGGTGAGAATTAACTAGATTAGGGTGAGAATTAACTAGATTAGGGTTAGTTAACTACAGTAGATTAGGGTTTGAAGTGACCTGAACAGCATAGTAATACAGTACAGTACAGTATACTGTATGTAACATATTGTGTTGCTTTATGTTTACATTTATCCTCCTCTGTTACTGGGCATGCACTGGGTCCAGTAGGTATCTGTACCTACTTCAATGTTGGTCAGGTCTAGTCTTGAAGGAGCTCACACTCAGGGCTGTCACAACTCTCTCTGGCAGATTGTTCCAACATTACAAATTTGTCTCTCTCCTCAGGTGGAGCCCCTGCAGGTGTGTGTGGACATTGGGTGTGGGTCAGGACAAAACACCAGGCTGTACAGTGAACATTTCAAGCAAGTCATCGGTCTGGATGTCAGTCTGGAGCAGCTCAGAGTAGCTGAACAAGACCATCTACATCAGAATGTTGTTTACAAGTTAGTAATGGACGAGTTGTGGGTTTGATTTTTTCCGTAAGATGGCAGGTCATTGAGTAAAGAAAATGCTTACATTCAATATGGTAATGATATTTTAAAATCCATTGGGCCAAAAAGTGTAAAAAATAAAGGTTAAAGTTGCTAAAGAGTCAAGTGACTGTGAAAAGGTCTGTGATTGGTTGTGACGTCACAGGTTGGCTCCCTAGAGGCAGCCAGCTGTGGTGTATGTGTTGTTACCAGCAGAAATACAGGACCTGTTGATATACACAGTCATACCTTATTTTTAGGTTATAATAAATTACTGCTCAAGTATCATCGTGTGTATTTACTTGCTGGCTGCCACAATGATGCACAAGACCGATAACTCCAACATGGAAGTTTTCATCACTGTTCTCTATTTCATGTCTGGAAAATTTAAGTTTTTGTAACTGATGTCTATATTTAATGTTGTTCAAGGACTAGGGACGACCATGGCCAGGGAATGAGCAGATGACAGACGTAATTTAACGTGCTTCATAGCTGGATGGCGGAGTTATTGATAATACTCTACTATCATAATGACATCTATTTTTGGTAAATTTCTTTCATCTGCCTTGATGAACCCTGGAAGTAGTTGTCCAACCTTCTCAGCTGATTGGCGCTGTAAATAAATATTATTAGATAATTAATTGTGCTTTACTGTGCAACACAGTAATACTATATTGAATATATAAATATTACTAAGCACATTAATTAATTCAATGGATATTAGCTGCCCCTACAACAAATTTCATCATATAAACATTCCAAATAATATTGGTATTATTTTGGTTTTGGTCATCTGGGGAACCTTAAGATTCTAACTATAGGATTAAGTGCTTTAAAAAATAAGACACATTTTCTCTACAGGATTTCTGTCGCAAAACATTTTTCGATCGCATAACAAAATACAGATCATATGTTAGGTTAGGTTAGGGTATGAGTTATAAGGTTAGCTTAACATACATCGGTAAGGTAGTAACGCAAAAATAGTTATTTCCGATATAAATGAAGGTCTAAGTCGTCCATAACACATCACAAACCATCAGAAAAAAACACAGTCTGCATGTCTAAGTACAGTACAGTGATGACCAAAACTTAAATTTACCCAATATAGCCTTTCTCGAATATAAACATCCAAATACTTATGGAAGTTAAAGTAAAATTTGACCCATTAATTAATACAAATGATGATATATCCCAATGCATTCTCAAAACAAAGTCCAGACAATGTCATGAGTTCTAAATTGACTGGTATCTCCATCTAGTACTGACATACTCTGTAAATGCACTGGAAAAGAAAAAGAATATCTACCAGGTAAGAATACATGACAGTTGAGCTGGTGTGAACAGGGGAGTTTTTTTATGTCCATAAGCTGCTCTTCACGGCACATTTCTTCACTTACAAAATGTCCATGACTTAGACCATAAAAAACACCCTTAAAACTTACCCGAATGTGGCATTTGGGGTCTGAAGAGGCCGTCCTTTGTAATACCTACGACTACTGCAGCGGTGAGTATGTTGGAGAACGTTGTTTGCAGAGAAACTGTTGATGTCATTGCAAATGGCGGCCCTGTTTCTAGAGAAATAAACTTTTCTCATCTATTATAACAGGACTTTAAACTTATTACAAATAATCTATACCGTATTACACTAAGGACGTGGCAGAGTGTATTTCTTGTGTTTCCTCAGAACCGACAACTTGTCCATTTTGATGTTTTATGTTCAAGTGGTGTTTATATGCACCATCCAGTTCCTCTGCATTGAAACTAAAATTACTTTGAGATGATCCAGCTTTTTAGAAGATGAAAATTTTGGCTTTTTTATAATTTAATAACTCTTTGTCTGACATAATAATACAGTATAACATCATCTTATCCTATTTGTACATTAACTTTAACAGCTTTCATTATGTAATGTCTTATGTTTTTACCTAAAAAATGTGTATTTTGAAGTGACATATTCTTTCTCACCCAAACATATGTACAGTACAGTATATAGTACAGTATATGTACAGTACAATATATTACTGTACAATATATGGTACAGTACAGTATTGTGTACCTTGAGTCACCTTTCTTTGTCCATTGTTGCCTTCAAAAGACTGTTCACACTCATATTTGTCTGAACACAATATAGAATTCATATTTTGTAATTCTTTGCTTGATAGAAAACCTCCAAGTGTATTTCTGATTTTCTCATTTTCTGTGCCAAGAAAAAAAGGATATTACAGGTACAGTACAATATACTGTACTGTACTGTAGAATGGTTGATGGTTAACCAAGTTACCCACATATGTAATCATCTATTTGTCATGTAGGTTTTTGTGAATATTTTTTTTAAATTGTGATTTTCAGTGGCCTGAGCATTGTTATTTTGGTTTGGTTCTATAAAATTATATAATCTTGCACTCTGTAGATGGAACAAGGTATCAGAGATAGAGGAATAACCTTTTTGCTCTTTAAATTTTCTTGTTATTTATGCAAGATGTTTAGAAACACACACACACACACACACACACACATTCTCCCTTCATTCATTCTGACTTACTGCTGTGATGGATGTCTTCTGCCTTTGTATCCCATCCTACAAGACTTTTAGATAAACAGATTCAGATTTGCCCCCGAGGGGGCTAGTTTATTGGGCACCCCCTTTCATCCTGTGCAAGGTGAAGCGCAGAAGCGTTTACAGCGCCCAACAGGGAAGTATGAAAAGTTCATACTTGCCTTTATGACTCGTACATTAAGGGCGTAAAAGCCTGAAGGGTCATAGGTTTTGTCAAGTTACATAAAGTGAGAGAATGATGAGAGTGTGGGGGGAAAGTTCCCGGTACATTTTATCTGTTTATGGCAAAGAGTGGCAGGTCCCTAATAATGTCAAATGCCAGGCCTGTGACTAGGAGGAGGGATTTTAGATAAACCTGATCCATTTAAAAGAATAACATGTTGTTAACCATTGTTGTTTGTTTTATTAATGATATTAAAGAAGTTCCTTCCCCCCAGGGAGGGGTTAGCTGAGCACATGCCTGTTGAGAATGCATCGGTGGATCTGGTGACGAGTTGTGCAGCGGTCCATTGGTTCAACTTAGATACCTTCTATAAAGAGGTAGATAGTTATTTAACAGTGTACGTGATCTTTCTGAGGTCATTATATAGAAAACTTTGTGAACAGTTTACAATACTGAATGAAAAAGGATTTTATGTACATTAGTTTAATTGTCGTGATAGTTTTTAATTTTTTTAAAATTATTATTTCACCACTTACCGGTTTAATAGCCATCTGGACAGTTGGTCTATCCAGTGTTAGTAGATGAGGAAACCGGAGACCAGGAAACCTGTGTAGTTTGGTAGTGAGGATCACACTGGGAAACACCCTTCTCACGTGTTGAGGAAATATACATTATGTGGTTTGTCAAGGAACCATAATTAGATACACTACAGTAACTTATTGGTTAATGTATCAGCATTTTTTTTTAAATATGTCTATGAGAGTTGTTGTGACCTTCAAGTTATTAATAGCAATGGAGATGATGGATTAAGTTATCCCCAAGTTTGAAGATAAATTCTGAGGTAGAAGATTGTGTTGCTTTGTGACTCTGTACAGTTAGGTAACAAAGATTATTGAGTAGTAGACTGTGTCCACGTGTTCATTTTTTAACTCCTATGAAAAAGACTGAAATAGTGTCTAATTACATGATTCATGGCCAAAGTCCAGTTTTCAGATATACTGTACTTGTAATAAATGTGTCACTACTTTTTTGACACTAGGCAAGATCATACATTACTTTGAAATGGTTACTGAAGGGTTTTACATCTATCTTACTTTATTTAGTTTACCGGTACAGTACATTGTTTCATCATGTATATAGACAATGCAGGTAGTATACTATTCAGTATGTATACTCTATACACAGTGCAGGTACATAATATACATACACAGTGCAGGTATACAAAGTATGCATTAGTGTAGGGTCATCGTGTGTCCATATTTTCCCGGATATGACTATTACATGCTACCTGGACGATTGACAACCTAACCTAACCATTAAATGCTGCTTAGATGATTAACAAATAGAGGATTGGCAACCTAATTGGTATGGCCAAAAATTGCAATCATACAATCGTTCAGAAAGAAATTGTACATGTGGGATATCACTGAACTAACCTTTCCATCATTCTCCACACAGGTAGACAGAGTGTTGCGACCGGGGGGAGTACTGGCTTGTTACAGTTACCTGGCTTGTACACCTCTTTATGCTGGCAAAAACTTAAGGTCAACAATATTAGAGGTACTATATATTTTTTTTTTTCGTTTTTTGTGGTACTGTTGCATAGTGTATGTGGCCAGCAGTCTAATTTCTCTTTGTTAGGCTCACATACATGCGTACATGGAGGAGTTCTCGCACTAAGGATGGAGGTGAGAAAGGAAACTCACAATGGCGTTTTTTTATATACAGTATAGTCTTCATTTACGTGGTCAAATGAACCCGTGGAGGTCCGCGTAAAACGAGAAACGAGTAAACTAAGTAAGAGAACATTTGGGATTAATTGAAATAGAGACCGGGCCGACCCCCAAACTACACTTTTTCCGACACAATAAGTACGTTGTAGTGAAAATAACATCTTAATTTTATGATGGTATGCACACACAATTAATATTTAAGAGAAATATCAATAATATTAGGTTTTTTAACACTTACGTTAGTAGAAAAGATGGCTGGGCACACGGAGATAGGGGATTGGTTCCGAGGCAGAGGGCAGATTATTGGCCCTCACCTGTATCTCTTGTATCAAGTGTATCACTATCCACCACAGAGGCTTGCAGGGCCTCTTTGTCAAACCCCTCAAAGTTCATATCCTCACTATCACTGACTTGGGCCTGCTGTGGTGGGTGGCGGGTGAAGAACTCGGTAATGTTTTGTTGACTGGGCAACCTTGTGCGCACCCTGCCCGCGCCGCTTTCTGCGTAAATGATGGAATGAACCATGTAAATAAAAATTGTCGGTCTGGCAAGGTGCCGCGTAAATGACCAAACGCGTAAACCAAATCCGCGTAAATCGAGACTATACTGTATATATTATATGTACAGAGCAGTTAGGTGCTGGGAAGTTGCTGCTTAGTAAAGGAGTTGCTGTGGAGGAGCTTCTTTAGAGGAGGTATTCTCTGCTTAAGAGCGTGGTGTTGTCTGCCCTCACGGCGAGGCAGGGGGATATTTATATGATTCTGCTGGATCAAGAGTTGAAGTGCAAAGATGAGAGACACTGCTGATTGGCTGAGGTGAAGGCGCCAATTGGTCAATCACCGCGCAGTTCGAACGCGAGGGCTGATATGTGGAACTCGCCTCTGGTTGGCTGGGAAGCGGACGGCCAGTGACCAATCAGCAGTTGTAGGGGAGAGTATCCACTACAACAGGGGGTGGGCAATTATTTTTGATGGCCACTTCATGAATGGTGGCACACTTCACGGGCCACAGGTTAACAGCGACGAGCCAGTATTGCTGCCATGTCCACCCAACTTCCAAAATTGTCCTTTCTGTAATTAATAAGAATTTTTTTTTTTTTGATTGCCAAATGCAGCGGCGGGCCACAGAAATAATTTACGCGGGCCGTACTTTGCCCACCCCTGCACTACAGTATATAATATTATATAGTATACCCTGTATATAGGTGAATGTAAATGGTTACCGTGGCATTGGTGTTACGATAATACATTTTGCATACATTATTACTACAGGGTGTTGTTATTGTTGCCATATGTCAGACTCAGTTACGTTAGTTAAGTTTTAATGTTAAATGGAACATAAATGGGATGGGGCTATAGAAGGTCAAGATACTTAGGATGTTTTTAGGTAGAAGTTAAAGAAAGTAATGTAGATAAATGTAGAACAAATCTACAATGAAGTGACGGAATGGAGGTAAGATATGAAAGAATGTAAAGTTTGAGCTACCAGATTTGGAAGTCAGTTGAGGCAGCTGTGAACAAAACAAAAAATTATAATGTTTGTGGGATTTGATTATCACCTTATATTTATCTTATTTACCTAATGGCCACCCAAATTAGAGGAGGCCATGCTGAGGGAAGGAGGCCATTGGCCTGTGTAGGATCACCTTTATTGTTCTTGATAATATTTTCCTTATAAACAGAATAGTTGTTATTAGGCCATAAGGGTTGTTTTATCCTTTGTGCAGTCTTACATTTTCTAACTTTAATTTTGTTTTTACCTTATTTACCTAATGGCCACCCAGTAGAGGTGGCCATTCTGCCAGGGGAAGGAGGTCAGTGGCCTGTGTAGGTTCCCTACATTGTTCTTGTGAACATTTGAATTGCTCATGTAGATTTTTATGCTTGGTTGTGACAACATCTTGACTTACTGCCTTCCCAAATATCTTTGTTACCCCACACACTTGACAATGTGGCTCATTATGTTTTCATCAATGTACAGTATTTAATGTAGATCACATACAGGGTGGGTCTAAAGATAGGTCCTTGCGGTATTCCACAGAAAACTTTTTTCCATTCTGAATGTACTCTGCTTGTCATCACTCTTTATTGCTTGTCTTGAAGCCAGTTGTTAATCCACTTCAATATTTTCTGTGACATATTTTGTAAGGAATGAGTCATGAATGAGGTCAAGGAGTTGTTCTTCCTCGGTTGTGTGGTAAAATTCACCCAATCTATCTTCTCGTGATTAAAGTGTCCCATGATGAGAGCTTGTGCTCTGGATGCTGTCTGGATGACTATGAATATATGCCACTTCCTGCTCCAATGCAGAGTCTGCCCTATAGCACACATTACTGTCAGCTTGTTTTGTGCTATCACATCACCTCACACTAAATGATTCAGATGATCCCATTTCATTTATCTTGTCAGTTATGTACTGGTTACTGTTGGGTGTTCCTTGACATATTATACAGTAGTACACCACCTCTTGTAGCCCTGTCCTCTCTGAATGGTGGATGATGCCTTGGTAAATATCCACCCAGCGACACATCTTGGCCTCAGGATTTGCTGACCCCAATGGTGTGTGGTTGTTTTGTGTCCACATAATTATGTACTCATTACTTCAGTCTTATTAAGTAAACTTTTGGCATTTGTGTACCATCAGATGCTTGGCCTGGTTTCTAATATTGTCATCTTTAAAGGTTTAGAACCTTCAGGATTAATGGAATGACCCTCATGTTACTTTCGGGGTTTTGTTCTCTCTGGGTTATGGGGTACAGTGCTGTAGTAGTATTATATGAACATGCACTAGATTTACTGTACTGTATTCATGAGCAGGTCACCTCTTGCCCTAACTGGAGCATTCTTTTGTCCTCCCCATCTTCCTGTACCCTGACTGCTTGGCCTCTTCTGATTTTTAGTTGAATTTTCACACATTATGGGTCACTGCATAACTCATCCTACAACTAATGGAGAAGACTTAGATCAAGTATTCATCTAACCTTCTCAGTGAATTAGAAAAAAGAATAGAAAAAAAATACAAGAGACCTAGAATGATACACCCAGCTTAAGACTATTTAATTAAGTTATGTGTGCAAAGTTTTACTGAACGTAATTTTATACAGGGTGAATAATATAAATCGAGAATGAGTTATCTGATGATAAAAATGGCTTCAGAAGGTGTCTTTGGTGTGAGAATTTTAAGTGTGACTGTTATAGAGATTAAAAGAATTTTTTTTTGTGGATTTGTTTCGTGGATTCTGGAGGTATTTAATTTGGAAAAATATAATAAATTTGCAGATACAGTAATTAAAAAAAAGCAGACAATAAAGTTGGGCACTTAGGGTCTCTTAGGAAGTTTTTTTAGCATGAGTAAAGTGACGTGTTAATAAGTAAGAAATATACTATTGTACTGTAGTTGTTGATGGTAATGGATGAAAGGTAATGATAGAGTAATTCAAATATTCGGTACGGTATGCAGATGATTTTGGTGTTGTAGATAGTGAAGAAGCATTACAAAGGCTGGTCAGCAGAATAATGGAAAAATGGTAAAATAAATTGGGACTTTAATGTTAGTTTAAGAAATAGTCTGGTGAAGTATTATGTATACACTAATTAATGGAATAAGCCAATATTGTCTTCCCATTTTCCAAAGTTTTAATAAAATATTAAAGTCTCAGTTCCACCAATATGATTTAATCTATCTTATTTTAAGATGCAGCCAACACTCGGAGTTCATTAAACAAGTCCCTTCTTCATTTTTTACAGATGCATTCAAACTTGGACCCCAACTGGTCAATGGGACATCGCCATTTAAACTCTGATTATGGCACTCTCCCGGCCTTCTCCCCAGAAGAAGTTTTCATCTCGTAAGTTCATCATTTACACAGTTTAACCACCATTTTCCAAGCTGGTGTGGGTTAACCTGATGTCAGCTCTCCAATCTTTATTGCAACTTCTCTTGTCAGGTTCTTATCTCTTAGGTTATTATTTACAACTTCTCCCCCAGGTCATTCTTGGCCTATCCCTTATTATTCTATCCTATACATTCAAACTCTTGCATATCTTTATCCAATTGATCCCCATTACTCTCCACATGCTGAAGCCATCTCAGCCTACCACTGCACGAACCTCACCAATACTCTTAGAGATTTATTTCCTGGAGACAAAGTGAGAGAGACATTTAGGTTACATTTCCCATAGAGAAAGAAAGATGATGGTATGATTTCCCCAGATGGATGAATTGTGAGATTTCCTAAAGGGAGAAAGAGAGAGAAAGAAAGAAATAAGGCATGTTTTTTTGGAGAGAGAGAGAGAGAGGGCAGGATTAGCAAAATGAAAATTGGCTAAATAATTTATACAGGAATGTTAATGATGTGTGGATAACTGCATACCATATTGAAATACATTTATTGTTTCCAGTCGCTACCACCAATAACTATCACCATAGGAATACTGATACAGTTTATGTGCTGAGGAGACGAGAACATCTTGGTGTAACTAACATTAAATAGTGTTGCACAGGAGTCATCTAGTTGGGCTCACAGTACACTCAGCAGTTCAGGACAGTAATTTGAGTCACCTGGGTACCTTGACTGAACGAGTTTCTAAAAAGGATAAAGTAACATTTTTTCTATGCCTGTACTTTGCTTGTAAGGTTATAAATATTAAAAGAAAAAGTAATGAAGCATAATGGCATTATTGATAATATATACTGTACCTAGACTTTGCCGAGGCTTTTGATAGCGTACACCATTTAAAGCTGAAAATTAAACTGGAAGGGTACAGAATTCAGGGAAACGTCCTGGCGTGGATCAGAAACTTCATGACCGCAAGTAAAATGTGGTGATTAATGGCATGAAGTCATCATGTGTCTCCATGACAGCGAGGTAATGCAGGGCAGTGTACTGGGACTGTTGTTGCTTGTTTGTTTCATACAAATGTCTGCAGATAATGTTAAGTTAATCGCAGAAATTAAGAACTAAACAGACAGTAAAGAGCTGCAGGAAAATCTGTCAGCTTCAGGAGTGGTCAAAGGGATGACCTTTAATTAAGATTCAACATCACAGAATGCAAAAGGAGCACCTAGGTCATACCAATAGTTAGGAGGAACATCACATGTCCCAATGGGACAAAGAAACATCATTATCTGATACCAAATGTATGAGTGTGTATGTTGATAACAAACTGAAATTTTCTGACCATTGTGAGAAGATAAATCAAACAAATAAGCTAATAGGTCTTACAAGAAGGGAGCTCACATACCTAGATGGTTCAATCCTCATAACACTTCAAAAATGAGGTGATTCAACAATTAGAGCACTGTCATGTTATCTGGTCCCAGAGATATAATAAGAGACTGTCAGTTGATTGAAAATGTTCATTGGAGGGCCACTAGACTGGTGCCTAAACTATGGCACCTCAGTTACCCAGAGAGGTTATAATACCTGCAGTTGCCTAGCTTGGGGTGACTTAATAGATATCTATAAACACTTCAGAGGATATTACTCAGTCAAGTGTTCATACCTAGAGCCGGCAGATACCTGCCCCACTAGGGGTCACAGCTTGAGGTTGAAAAGGCTACAAGTTTTTTGGAGTGAGAGTTATGAACTTTTGGAACAATCTGCCTGAGAGCGATGTGAGAGCACCGAGTGTGAGCTCATTTAAAACCAGATTTGACCAACATTGACATCGGTTACGATAAATTCTGGAGGCAGTACATTCCCAGTACTGTACTTGCCAACACTGCGTAGCACAGCTGTGACTGACCGCCCAAGTAACTAACAAGCCGTTTGGTGGTGAAGAGGATAAAATAAAGTAAAAAGCGTAGTCATCGTTAAATGTTGGCATTCATTAGTGGAAGCTATCTGCAGGGACAGCAGCCATCATATGTGGAAGTTTCATGTAGTTTGTATTCCATTTTTGAGAGGAGGGGGAATGGGGGAATCCTTAGCTGTCAATTTAGAGTTAAGGCCTGAAAATAATATATACAGAGAAGTGATGTTAATTAAGTTCCATGCTCTCTGCAGGTCCAATGAAGAAAAGTTTGTGGTGGAGACAGATGCTACACTGGACTCCATCATAGGCTACTTGTCCTCCTGGTCGGCCGTCCAGAAACTTCAAGATCGTGAGGGTGAGGAGGTAGTGTCACAGTTTCTCTCCAAGTGTAAACACAGGTAAGGATGAGAATTGTATGTAAATCCATATTGGTAGAGTCCTTTAGAATGATAGGTGCTGCTAAGTTATGTATGCATCTCTCACTATGTACTGGGTTCAAGACCTGGGCTGGAACACATGTGGAAAGGGTGTTATCCAGTGTGAACGAACCAAACATTACAGGTTTTCTTCAGGTACTCCATTATTGCCTTGACTGTCCCATATAGATTTAATTCTTGTAATCTACCCACGCTTTGGTGGGTGCTAACTTCCATTGTTCTTAAATCATATCAATATTGTCTCCATATCACAAGTCTTAGGTGTTCTGCGAGACACGAGTACCAATGCATTAGTGCTTGACCACATGGTCTTACTACTAAGCTTGTTGCCCCCTGGGGTGTAATAAATTAATTAAATAATAAAAAATAAGCCCAGCAAGATTAAACAGACACTCACAAGCAGCTGATGCAGGTACAGTAGTGGGGTGTTGAGCTTGATAGCTAAGTCACATAATGTCAGGAAAGACCTCAGTAGCTCCACCCCATCCCCTGGGCATGCCAAGTAACTATTAAGCTCCTTCAGTTGAAGGCTTTGTGGATGATTGTTGCCTCCATAGTGACTGAGTCTGACTAAGACTCCCCATGAACTGTCCCTCTAATTGGGGGTGTGGCTGTGGTGACGTCACTTTTCAAATCTAATGGACGAGTGGTTGAATTTTTCACACCATGTAACATCTGGTGGGTGCTGCTAGGGAGGGGCAGTGGTACAGGTACTTAGTTATTTAAGCAGAATTTTAAATACACTCAGTCTCTCACACAACACACATATGTATAGATATAGACTTTATATCTAAGATGGAATTTTGTAAAGCATTTTAGAATCACAGCATCTTTGAAATTCATTTTGGGTACAGGTGTATGCAAAGAGCAGCTGACATATAACTGGAAGACCAAGCCCCTGAAGGAAAGGTGGGGGAGAAGAGAGGGGATTAGATGGGGGGAGGTGGGATAAGAAGGTAGGCTAGGTGAGGTGGGTGGTCAAGGTGTTGATGGACACAAGAAGTCCGCTGTTATGGCCACTGCCACCTGACCTGACCTCATGTCACCTGACCTCATGAGACCTCTAGGTATTTAACCACGTGGTGTCTCCCCACACTGTACCCTTCATGGCTCCACCCACACTTTTATTTATTTATTTATTTATTTTTTACGGGGATTAGCTCACCCGGGCACAGGTCACTGACCCACATAGGGGCCTGGGGGGCAAAAATGTAATAATAATAATAAAGAACCATAAAGAAATAAAAAAAATAAAAAAGATCAAAAGTGAGATACAATATATACCGTATATGTTGTGTTGTCAATAGTAAGAGAAACAATTGAGACCCTGCAATTGTGTGTAAATGAGACTGAAAGTCAGATCACCAACCTGGGACTTGGTCACAATTTTCGTGATGCCATATAGCAGCAGGGTCTACCATTAGACAACACATTATGCTTCCAATATCTTCCCAAGGCGGTAGTACCTCCCTGTTTGGTAGCTGCCTACTACCTATAATACCCTCCACCCACACAACTCTCTCACTATGGTTATTAATTAATTAATTAAAAAAATATATAATTCACAACCAGTAACGAATTTTGTTTTTCAATTTTATTGGAGTAAAAGTATTAGAAAACCATACTTCAATAACAGTGCAAAAAAATTTAGTACTTTTTAAAAAAGAAGATACCCAGAAATGTTACTTGAGTACAGTACTCAAGTAAATTTAATTAGTTATTCTACAACTCTGTTGACCAGACTTGTATAACAGCAAATCAGACTTAGTATCTTTTCCTCCACTGTTGCTAATGCTTGACTCACATGCTATGTTACCTGTCAGACTCATATAGTCTTGATCTTCATATCTTGCTTGTGACCTCAATCAATAATCCAGGTGCCATATCCCTAACATGTAGACAAATTAACTATGTCTCTTATCTTGGAGTCAGAAATTAATTTATTTGTTAGTATAGTACAGTACAAAGTTCCTGACTGTCTTCTATAAGATAGGGTTGTTTATGCCCGCTTTGTCTACTCCCATTATGTCTACTCTGAAAATGTTGCATATTCCTAGAATGTCTACTGTCAGTAAATGATGACCTACTTTTACCTAACCTAACCTCACAACAGGAAGTACACTGTAGATAAAATGGGAGTAGATGGACTGGGATGATACCTGTAGGATTATGGTGTTGATCAAGTCTTGGTTTCGTTGAGTACAGTAATACCCAGCTTTACATGGTCAATTGAACCCGCGGAGGCCCGTGTAAAGCGGGAAACGCGTAAATGGAGCAACAGAACATATGGGATTAATTGAAATAGAGACTGGGCCGACCCCCAAACTCCACTTTTTCCCGACACAATACGTACGTTTTAGTAAAAATAACATCTTAACATTATGATGGTATGCACACACACGTAATATAGAAGAGAAATATCAATAAGAGAATAATATACTGTACCAGGTAAAAGAAAAATCAAGGTTTAACACTTACGTAAGGTTAGGTTATGTTAAGAAAAATCAAGGTTTAACACTTACGTAAGGTTAGGTTATGTTAGGAAAAATCAAGGTTTAACACTTACGTACGGTTAGGTTATGTTAGGAAAAATCAAGGTTAGGTTTAACACTGACGTTAGTAGAAGAGATGGGTCGGCGTACGGGAATGGAGGCTGGTTCCGAGGCAGAGGGCAGGCTACTGGCCCTCAGGTGAGTCACCATCACTGTCATCCACACTTGTCAGGGCCTCCCTGACAATCCCTCAAAGTCACCATCACTGTCTCTAGTCTGTCACTACCACTGGCTTGGGCTGGCTGTGGTGGGTTGTGGGCGAAGAACTCGGTAATGCTTAGTTGACGGCTAGTGTTGATGTTGTCGTGATACACCTTGATGTAGGGCTCCATAGTCTGCACCAGCTGGGTAGTGAAGACTTCATACTGGTTATCGTCAGGGTCGTCGGAAAGGAGGAGCTTCAGTTTCTCTACACACTCGATGGCTCCCCTTACATTACCATGCGATAACTTGTGCTCTTCTCGGGATGACGCACCACCTGCCTCTTCACTGACGTGATCGTCTTCTAACATCTCGTTGGCAGTCACCTCAGGATCCCTGATCACCTCCAGGATGTCTTCGTTGGTGGTCTCGGAGAAGCCTGCAGCTGTAACACTGCACAGCTTCTCTGGCAAGGTCCACTGCTACTGCAACAGTCTGAACCTCACCAGTCACAGGTTGACTCTGTCTCCCACCTGGGATATCTTGCAACACACGTCTCCATGCGTGACGAACCGTTGCTACAGACAGCTGATCCCATGCCTCCACCAAAAAGTTCACAGCTTTCTTGACGTTAAATTTCCTCCAAAAGTGTTTCACAAGAACTTCTTGCTCTGCCAACTGTTGTTCCTCGTCCTCGTCGCTCATGCTATCGGTGTCACCCAGGTTACGCAACTCATCCTTGGTGTTGGTATAGTCGTTCAGGAGCTTAAATTTCTTTGCAGAGAATGCAGCTTTCACATTGCAGATTAATTCTTGGTCCATGGGCTGCATTAATGACGTAGTGTTGGGAGGAAGGAAGACCACTTTTACGTTGGGGTGACGATCCAACAGTAGGGGCGAGTGTCCTGGTGCGTTGTCAAGCAGTAACAAAATCTTGAATGGAACATTCTGTTGCTCACAGAATTTCTTCACGTCGGGAACGAAACAGTCATCAAACCAGGAGAGGGACAGAGTAGAGAACATCCACGCCTTACGTGCGACCAGCCAGTGAACATTTAGCTTGGTCATGTCCATGTTCCTGTAGGCGTGTGGCTTGCGGGCTGTGTGGATCACCGATAACTTGAGTTTACAGGAACCGGAGGCATTGGTGGTATAGAGGATGGTGATGCGCTCCTTCTGCAACTTCCGGCCCCGACACTTGCTGGCAGACTGGACAACGAAGGTATTGGAAGGTTGCTTTCCAAAGCAGACAGGAATCGTCCATGTTGAACACCTGGTCGTCTGTGTACTGTCCTTCCTCCATACTCTCACGTAAGAACGGAGGAAAATCCCTAGCCGCAACATGGTCAGCACTCGCTTCTTCAACACCAATGTTAATGTTGGTGATCTTGTTCCTCTTCTTAAACCTGTGCAGCCACACAGAGGAAGCATACTGCATGAACTGACTGCGTGTCGACCGCCATGTTCCGTCTTGCCTGATGAATCAAATAGCTCACAAATAAATTCTCCGTATTGAGAAGCACCTTGTTCTGGCAATACTTGATCATTGAAGCACCTGCAGACTTTGTGATGTTCATGTGTTCTTTTATCTTGGCTGCATCCTTCTTTATCGTCTGGATCGTAGATTTGTTCACACCATGCTGGCACACGAGATCAACCTGCTTGTTCCTTTCTCCAACTATTGGATGATCTTGTACTGCACATCGTAGCTTAGGGCACGTCGTATCTTCTTTGGCTTAAGGCGGCTGGGTTCAGGTAATGCAAGGTTTTTCTGTGGTGGTGGTGGTCCAGTGGCAGCCATTCTTATGGAACAATAGATACCGGTATACACGGTGTGGCCGGGAGGGATGTAACTGACGCAGCTAGATCAAGCCTGCTTCATCCCTCCCGCGGCAGGGCACGTCATATTACATTAAACCAATCACAGCTAGCGGGGAGGAAGGTAAGGATGCGTGGCCCAATCACAGTCCGATACGTCATATGATGTCACCGATAATGCAACAAAGACATACACTGCGCAACCTACTCGCGCCGCTTACCCAACATGGCGGGAGATGGCGGAAAGTTTGAATCCAAAAATGGCGCGCCACGAGAAGACCGCCAGCCGCTCTCCGTGTATATGAGTAGATGCACCGACAAAAGCGGGAATTTCGGTTCTGGCGGGGTACCGCGTAAACGAGAACCGCGTAAAGTGGGGTATTACTGTACAGGACAGGACAGGACAGTACAGTACAGTACAGTACAAGACGAGATGTGATATTGTAGTGTAATAAAGATTCCGTCTACTGTTGATGTCGGCACTTCCTTGAAAATTTGTTTGAGGTGTATTTTTTATGAAAAATTTTGTCTTGTATAGTTGTTGTTATTACAAGTATTTGGCTTTGAGGGAGTAGTGTATAAGATGTATGGTTAGGTTAGTTTGGGTTAAGTTAGGTGCACATCACATATTTTATAATACTGTAGTAACTGTAACTAAAAAATATGAACCTGATGTGTTCTGAACCCTTAAGCCCTGGGTTAGGGTGCCGGTGGTGGGGGGGAATCGAGGAAAATAAACTTTAACAAAAATAATTTTTAACCTTTTTAAATCATAAAACAATAAAAAAGAAGTAAGAAAAACTATATATTGACTCTAGAAACTTCCCTGGCAGCGCTGAGGGAAGGATATAAGAGGACAGCTTGTTGACGGCGAGCACTCTTGGTCAACTATGCACTTAGCAGCTATTTTTAGCTTGTCTTTCTGTCTGGGATTGCCAGTAATTCATATATTTACTGATCATAATACTGTACTTATTTCCTATAAATAATTCATTTCAAATTTATTTTATTTGCATTATTTTTCATAAAAAGCGCTCGACGACACACGCATTCTGTCGCCAGGCTGTCCGGCTGTCTTTGTGTTTGGTAGAGCAAGTAATGCATAGAAATAATTATTGGAATAATAATTCCACAAATAAATACATTTATAACAATCATAGCATTATTTTCCAGTAATACTACACTACAATACAACTACAGGTACTGTACACTACTTTAGCAATATTACTTTGATACAACATGATAAAATGGACAAATGAAACAAACAAAAGTTAAGGAAGCTTCCCTGTGGCCAAGCGTGTGGTGTGACAGGCAAATATTCACACTGGAACCTGATAACCTGCTCTGGGCATTTAAACAGTGGCGGGAAAAGGAGCGCGTTCTGGAACGTCACCCGGGGCGTAAGGGTTAATGATTACCGTATTTTTCGGCTTAGAAGACGCACTTTTTATTTCAAAAATATACCTTGAAAATTACCATGCGTCTGCCATGACGCTAGTTGATGAGTTGTAGGAGATGTTTTCTTAGGGTCAACTGAAATCAGCTCCTTACAAAGACTGTTACCTCATTACAGTACTTAGCAATTTCAAGTATTCTCTATACAGTACAGTACTATAAAATAATTGATTTAACTAATATTGTTGATATACTGCAAAAAATACGATTATTTACTTACTCAGTAAGTAAAAAATATAAAAATAAACGGCTGCAGCTACACAACCCTTGCTGCTGTGCGGTTTGCTTACTAATGGCAGTGGTGCGGCAGCGTCATCTATTGAGGAATTGCTAAAGGTTGTCTGCTCGTCTCAAAGTGCAAGAATGTTTGTTTCTTCACCCTTGAGTGTCTAGAACTTTGTTCATTCACCACCAGGCCTTCACTGGTGTCACAAGCCATTTTCATTCCTGCAAATTATCTCCCTCATCTATGGCAGGTATCAAGGAGACATAAATATAATATCGCATTTAAACTTGAAGTAGTGAGATATGCCAAAGAACATGAAAACAGGGCAACAGAGAGAAACTTCGAACCACCACCTACTGAGAAGATGATTGGCACTTATTGGGGAATACCGCCGAAATTGGCCGACGCTGTGAAAGGTTTGGTGTGATTACATTAGGTTAGGTTAGGTTTGGTGTGATTACATTAATTTAAGTTAGTTAAGGTTAAGTTAACAATAGAAATTCATCCACCATCCTTGATTTTATTCCCTGAAAAATGGGGGTAAGACAGGGGCACTACTGAGCCTTACAAAAACAAACCCACCCAGTGAGTCCAGATAGCCACATAACCCTACTACATGCAGTACAGTACCATATAAGGTCTTTAAAACAGATGTACCGTGTTAAGAGTTATAGCATATGGATATTTTGTACAGACTGCAAGATGAGATGGGCACTACAGAGGAGGACGCACCGATGAGGAGCCGCTACACATATTTCCTCAGAATGTGGCGCAAACCTTCAGCACATGTCATCCCCGGCAGTTCTTAATACAGAAGAAACGCATTCGACTTTTAATACAACTCTGTTCGTGTAAGATTTAAATCCAATGATCCATTAAAATGGGGATTTCCTATATTATTATTTGTATATAAGTAAGATTATTTTAACCAACCTAAGAAAAGTATAATATGAGATAGCTCTTATCATGGGGTAACCTCCGGTTCTCTCACTAACCTCATAAACTTGTACTGTACTGTACATGCTAAACATAAAGATCTAACCTGTAACTCACAATAAACAGTACAGTAATGGATCTTATTATCAACTCTAGACAGATGAATATAAAACAATAATAAAGAAAAACATTTTGTGCAACTATAATAAGAATCACTTTGTACAGTAGGTTGTGTGTTTAAAGTACATGCTAAGAACCACGTTTTGAGATTCTGTACATTGTATTTCATATTACCTATACAGTACTGTAATTAACCTGTATAGTATTTAGTAATTTAAATTTCTAAAAAAAAGTTAGATGGGAATGAAAATGTATTGGTAAATTAGTACTGTTACTGTATATACCCTGTATAATTTTAATGTAAATATAAATGGATATACAGTACCATACAGTATTGTACATGGTTGGCTATAGGAACAAAATTCAAATCCACAATTCTTTCAAAACCTGTTTGCGGTATCTGCATTCAAGTCTAGGAAGACCAGTAAGAAAAGAAAATAATCGGCTATACAGTACTTTTACTTACCCGTATCTTTACTTTTATCCAGTGTTGGTCAAGCCTGATCTTGATAAAGCTCACACAGTGCAACACTGGCAGATTATTCAAAGAGTTTACAATTCTAACTCCAAAAAAGATTGCCCGCTCAATTTTCTGGACTCGTGGCTTCTTCAACCTTGAGCTGTGACCTCTAGTGTCATCTGAGGTGTTTGTAAATTTCAATCAATTCCCTCCTTCCCCATCTATAGTGTAAGCTAGGAAGTTGCAGGTATTCTAATCTTTCTGGGTAACTGAGGTGTCATAGTGCAGGCATCAGTCTGGTGGCCCTTGAAACATTTTCAATCAATTGACTGTCTCTAGCATATCTTGGGGACCAGATAGGGTGACGGTACTCCAAATGGGGAAGAACTTCACTCTTGAAAAGCAATACGAGGTACGGACCATCCAAATATCTGAACGACCTTATAAGACCTAATAACTTCATTGCTTGATTCACTTTCTTCTTGCAATGGCCCAGGAACTTCAGTTCATTGTCAACATACACACCCAGGTCCTTTTCACATTAGGTCTCTATTAATATTGTTTATTTGTCCCATTGGGACATGTGATGCACCTCCTTACTGTTTGTATGACCTAGGTGCATCCTCTTACACTTCGTGAGATTGAATCGTAACAGCCATTTCTTTGACCCCTCTTGAAGCTGGCAGAGATCTCTCTGTAGGTCTTCACAGTTTTTTTTTTTCTTAATTTACTTTTACTTTACTTTTATCCTCTTCACCACTGATCGGCTCGTTAGCCGCTTGGGCGATCGGTCACGTCTCTGTTACACACTGTTGGCAAGTACTGGGCATGCACCGGCTCCTGAATGTACCTGAACCCGCTCCAGTGTTGGTCAAGTCTTGTCTTGAAAGAGCTCACACTTGGCATTGTCCACAAACATTTGTATGGAGAAGTATATGTTTGGCTTGTTGGTGTTAAAAATATATCCTTGTTTAGATTATTGTACTGTATTAAAACTAATTCTTTGCCTAACTTAGTAAAGGCGAGGAAGAGCTCTGTATATTATTGAAATCAAAATACAGTACAGTAGTCATATTATTTTCACAGTTTAAACTATTACCTCAATTCCATAATTACCTGGTAACTGTTATTGTTCCCTGGTGCCTTGAATAGGATGTCATGGTCACAATAGCAAGGCTAGTCTGCTCAACACTAATTATTCATATTATGCTCCACCGCCCACAAAACGTGTGTGAAACTGTGAGTCCACCAGTTGAGACGTCCGTATTCTCCCCACTTCAGTACATCTTAGTCCCCCGATTTCTCTCATGTACTAACTCAGACTCGGGTATTTCTTAATACAGTACTGTACCTCATTTGGTGTTCAGGAATTTGAAATTGAGAGCGAATGAATTTATTGTACACTCGGTAAAAAAAAAATTAATTACCGTACTGGTGGGGTCTGATGATCTTCCAACTGAACATTCCCGTTGTCCCGTGAAGGTTGGTAGGCCTGAATGTGAGACATTTCATACTTAATTTGGTAGGCTGAAATTAGCCATTTCATTGACAATATTTTGCAACCGAATTTCGAATCTGTATTTGTATTGCTACTTCACTATGGGCAAATGCCACATTATGTGTTTCTTTACTCATAAATATACCATGCTGTTCTAAAACATCTGAATAGCTCCACAGTTTCGCATGCCGTCATAATGGAACCCGGCCCAATGACGTTTTACCATACAGTCGATAATTCCTGAAAGTCTAGTACTAGGCTTACCTTTGTTATGAAAAGCTATGAGTTCATGAACCTATGAGAGTTGAAGTGTTTCTTTCTTTGTGTGGTCATCACAGTCGACATGGAGAAATGAGGCATTGAGTTACGATCAAGTTTCAAATTGTGTTAGTGTGGCAGCATTAACTCTGACTCGTTTCACAGTGCCGATCACTTGTTTCGTGCATGTGTGGCCGATCCCATACACGTGCAGGGCTACCAATGCGAGGAATGCTTTAACTGAGCCTGTAATCTTCACTACCTCCTGTCTTTAACTGAGCCTGGAATCTTCACTACCTCCTGTCTTAACTGAGCCTGTAATCTTCACTACTTCCTGTCTTAACTGAGCCTGTAATCTTCACTACCTCCTGTCTTAACTGAGCCTGTAATCTTCACTACCTCCTGTCTTAACTGAGCCTGTAATCTTCACTACTTCCTGTCTTAACTGAGCCTGTAATCTTCACTACCTCCTGTCTTAACTGAGCCTGTAATCTTCACTACCCTGTCTTAACTGAGCCTGTAATCTTCACTACTCCTGTCTTAACTGGGCTTGGAATCTCACTACCCCATCTTTAACTGGAGCCTGTAATCTTCACTACATCCTGTCTTAACTGAGCCTGTACCTGTAATCTTCACTACCTCCTGTCTTAACTGAGCCTGTAATCTTCACTACCTCCTGTCTTAACTGAACCTGTAATCTTCACTACCTCCTGTCTTAACTGAACCTGTAATCTTCACTGCCTCCTGTCTTAACTGAGCCTGTAATCTTCACTACCTCCTGTCTTAACTGAGCCTGTAATCTTCACTACCTCCTGTCTTAACTGAGCCTGTAATCTTCACTACCTCCTGTCTTAACTGAGCCTGTAATCTTCACTACCTCCTGTCTTAACTGAGCCTGTAATCTTCACTACCTCCTGTCTTAACTGAACCTGTAATCTTCACTACCTCCTGTCTTAACTGAGCCTGTAATCTTCACTACCTCCTGTCTTAACTGAGCCTGTAATCTTCACTACCTCCTGTCTTAACTGAGCCTGTAATCTTCACTACCTCCTGTCTTAACTGAGCCTGTAATCTTCACTACCTCCTGTCTTAACTGAGCCTGTAATCTTCACTACCTCCTGTCTTAACTGAGCCTGTAATCTTCACTACTTCCTGTCTTAACTGAGCCTGTAATCTTCACTACCTCCTGTCTTAACTGAGCCTGTAATCTTCACTACCTCCTGTCTTAACTGAGCCTGTAATCTTCACTACCTCCTGTCTTAACTGAGCCTGTAATCTTCACTACCTCCTGTCTTAACTGAGCCTGTAATCTTCACTACCTCCTGTCTTAACTGAGCCTGTAATCTTCACTACATCCTGTCTTAACTGAGCCTGTAATCTCAACTGTCTTCTCTGTCTTAACTATGGTTATTTCCCTCTGTTACTCCTATGTGTTTACTAAGGCATTATGTGCTAAGTGTCTCCTGGGACTGAACTAGGAAACATCAACGTCTATACTACCACTGAATACGTATCTTCAACAACCTCCTAATGTCTCATCTACAGCAGAATGTCTCTCAAGGTTTTAACTACCCATTGGTATTACACCTCCTGCCTACACTCTAGGCGACACCTCAAATAATAATTATTAACCCTTCAATTCTAACCTAAATATATTTAATATTTCAATCTAAAGATTTGAGGGATAAGAAGTGAAGGTAAACATGTTCAAAATTAGTTTACTTATTAAAATATGTATAAACTATACTTAATAATAGTTGGACTATTCGCCTGCCATATGGTAGGTTTAATTTGGGAGTAAAAATCCCAAGTGGCAAAACACATAAATAAATTGGAAATGTAGGCAAAAGAACATTCTCTCCTCCAAGCCTAAAAAATCTCTATCTTTTCCAGGATCACAGGCCTCTTTTCTTATTTTTTTCCCCATCTGATAAAAATTTAAAAACGCCCATTGGAAAATGTTTTGCCTCTGGAGAAAGTTGACGCCGGCTACTGGGAGAATATCCCTGTGGTTAATGATCTCGTAAAGATAAACATAATGGAAAAACAAAGAGATGGATTATTGGCAGCTCTTATGGAGGAAGGGGTGGTGCCGGCATCTGAGCCACCCTTCCCCTGGGTGGTCTCCTGCGTGGTAGGCTTCTCCCTGTTATTCAGTATGATCTACCGGTGGATCAAAATGACTGTAGTGAGGGTCTCCGGGGAGGACGACGACCTGGCCTCCGGGGAAGATGACGACGACCTGGCCTCCGGGGAAGATGACGAGGACAACGACGTAGCCTCCGTGGAAGAGGAGGACCTGCCCTCCGGGGAAGACAAAAAGGACGTTGACCTGGCCTCTGGGGAAGACAGAAAGGACGACGACCTGGCCTCCGGGGTAGACAAAAAGGATGACGACCTGGCCTCCGGGGAAAACAAAAAGGACGACGACCTGGCCTCAAGGGAGGATGATGACCTGGCCTCCGGGGAAGATGACGAGGATGATGACCTGCCCTCCGGGGAAGATGACGAGGATGATGACCTGGCCTCCGGGGAAGACGACGTGGACGAAGACGACTCTGGGGAAGATGACGACGAGGATGAGGACTTGGCCTCCGGGGAAGACAAATAGGACGACTACCTGGCGTCCGGGGAAGACAAAAAGGATGACGACCTGGCCTCCGGGGAAGAGGAGGAGGTTCTGTTTGAACAATGTTTATATGTCCCCAGAAGGTTTCATGGTAATTTGATCGGGAAAAGAGGACAACATATCCGGGATATTTAATCACTATTTGGAGTGAAAGTCCACCTCGAAGACCAGGAAGATCAGGTCTACGTTGCTAGCACAGAGAAGACTCTGGTTGCCGAAGCCATCAAATATATTGATGAAACAATTGATTGGTGGAAAAAAATGTTTGGCTCCCGGAGGAATGGTAAATGAAAAAGGTAAAGTCATTTAGGTTTTAACTTTCTTTTATTTTTACCTTTTGAAAATTATACACTGCAATATATTTATACAGCATATACTTAATTTTACCGAACAAATTTTATCTAATTAGAATTCCTATTGGGGTTTATTTAAATGGATGGTACTGCACTAGAAGAGCCCCTCAGAATACCGAATCAGCACAAACAAAATTAATATACAGTAGTATTAACCATAACCTGGACTGGCGCTCCTGAGATTGGTGTTAAAGAGATGCACCGGTAGTGTTATGACACTTGTATTAATCAACAGCATCTCCCCTACAGCACTAAGCAAAATATTAAGTGCACAAGACAACAATTCATTTGGATTGATCCCTCAACACTTCTTACGTCACTAGACACCATATTATCGGCATAGAAAAATATGAAACTGCTCCCAATATGAGCTCAGGAGTTGTTGAGGTCAAGTGTTGCACTTCCCCGAGTTTAAGCCCATTGACACTCCCATTAAAACACAACCCCTGACGGATCCTTAACGCAGCAGTTCCTTAGCGCACACATTCATAAAATAACTTAGTGGTCTAGAAACCCTACAAAATAATATTAACCACTAGAAAATTATTAGTTAGATCTTTATGAGATTTTTCCACATTCTTAGTTTAATATACTGCACAAAGACCAAAGATGGCAACTTAAAACCCACAAAAACATGGGTCAGTTGTAAGGATCTGCTTCCTCACTTCATATTTATTCTCTTTATTATTCTTTCCTATACAGTACTTATATACTTATATTCTTCTACTCTGAGTCTCTCTCTATAAGTATCTATCTTATATTTCTTTGTTTATATTTTCTAAGCCAATATTCTTTTCTTTACTTCATTTCTTCTTTCTTATTTATTATTGTATTTTCTGAATTTCATATCTTTACTTTCTCTCAATTATATCCTGTTGTAGTTATATTCTAAACCATGGATTAGTCTGGGAAACCATGTCATTCTTATCACAATAATTATTTTACTTGCCGCGGTAGCCTGCCACCACCCAGAATTTTAGGTAGTGTGCTAGCGAGCTTCTAGGCACGTGAGTTATAATAGTTATTTTCTGAGAACCAGTGGGTAGAAGAAATAGAGCGGTGATACTTTTAGTTTACTTATCTAATATTTATTAACATATGGAGTGAACAAGATATTAATTAAGTTCACTCAGACAAGACTGGACCTTTGAGGTCTTACTTTACACACAGCAAAATAGATCTTAATTACTTATTACATCCTTGAACATCTGTTATATTATTTCATTGTCAATACAGATGATTATATAACACACTTGACAAGATCCAAAATTAAGATATTATTAAACACATCCTGTTAGTTCGGAATGAACAACATGGCACTTTAACTAGCATTCGGTGGTAGTACACCTGGTTGGTGAACTCGACTCCTATAGCAACAGTACCACGGGTAACACCAACATTCATGGGTTCAATACTTAACCTGTGATAACTATATTTCTGCTAATTAATCCCCAATTATAGATACTAATACTGCTCAATATATATAACCACGGTTAATGGACCGGACAAGTCTGAGTCCACTAGTGGCGGGAGTTGTTTACGCCACAGACAGCCGAAGCTCGCTTGCAAGGAGCGCCCTGGGGTAGACTCGGTGCAGTGTCTCCGCACGGCGTTCCCTGGGTAATCTTGTCCTCGGATTCTTATCTCGCCATATTAAAGACATCCTTCATGAACCATCTTGCCCATAGGCGGCTACCGAACCTCGGTAGTGGTGCCAACACAGACATTACCTGGAGATGCGTTGAGGAAGAGTCACTAGCGTGTAAATGTCTAACTCAAATACTCCTAAATATACGTCTGGCAGCAGTACAGACGACACTTACTTTACTCGATTTACTTGGCACATGATTATTTCACTATGTTAAAACATAAACACTGATATTCACAAAATTGACTAAGTTAAACTGACTTAACATGGCGGCAGGAAACAATCGTTCACATACCTGGATATGCGTTGAGGAAGAGGCACTAGCATGCGAGTCTCCCTTGTGCATTCGTATATATATATGTGAGCCTGGGGCAGTTCCGGCCTACGCATACATACCAGAAAGGCTAATCTCATCAACAACAGAAATTCTATTCAACTTGGTCGCTGTACACTCATCTATGAACGTCAGTGTCACGAGTCAGGTTAATTTCTTATTTTTTTCTTGTATCCTCTTCGCCACTGATCGGCTTGCTAGCCGCTTGGGCAATCGGTCACGTCTTTGATTACTTTTCCTTTTCATTTATCTTTTTCAACAAAAGATAGGCTCACTACCCGCCCTGGCGATCGGTCACGTCTCTGTCACGCACTGTTGGCAAATACTGTGCATGCACCGGCTCCTGAATGTACCTGAACCCGCTCCAGTGTTGGTCAAGTCTTGTCTTGAAAGAGCTCACACTCGGTGCCGTCACAACACACACTGGTAGATTGTTTCAAGAGTTTACAACCCTCTCTCTGAAAAAGTTTGCCCTCACAGTTTTCTGGACTTGCGGCTTTTTCTATCTTGAGCTGTGACCCCTTATGGGGCGAGTGTCCACCAGCTCCAAGTAAGGACACTCACCTGAGTAGTGCCCTCTGAGATGCTTATACATGTACACCTCGACTAGGTTCCCCCTTGCCCGTCTGCAGTATAAGCTAGGCAAGTTCAGGCTCTCCAATCTCTCAGGGTAGCTGAGGTGCCGAAGTGCAGGCACCAGTCTGGTGGCCCTACTTTGAACATTTTCAACCAACTGACAGTCCGTAGCATATCTCGGGGACCAGATGGGGTGACAGTACTCCAGATGGGGAAGCACTTCACTCCTGAAGATCGTTACGAGGGACGGACCGTCTAGATATCTGAACGATCTTCTTATAAGACCCAACAATTTATTTGTATGATTTACCTTCTTCTCGCAATGGCCCGAGAACTTCAGCTCATTGTCAACATACACACCTAGGTCCTTCTCACATACAGTCTCAACTAGTGCAGTTTCTTCATCCCGTTGGGACATATGATACGCTTCCTTACCGTTGGTACGCCCCAGGTGCATCCTCTTACACTTCGTGACATTGAATCTCAGCAGCCATTCCTTCGACCATTCCTGGAGCCCACAGAGGTCCTTCTGCAGCTCTTCACAGTCAGCTTGCTTCTTAATTTCCCGAAATAACATGACGTCATCGGCAAACATTTGTATGGAGGAGTGTACAACGTCAGGCATGTCATTTATGAAACAAACAAACAACAGCGGGCCCAATACACTGCCCTGTGGTACCCGACTTGTGATAAGTACGGATGACGATTTCGTGCCACTAATCACCACACACTGCTTGTGGTCATGTAGAAAGTCTTCTATCCATGCTAGGACATTTCCCCGAATTCCGTACCCTTCCAGTTTGATTTTCAGCCTTTCATGGGGTACGCTGTCGAAAGCCTTGGCAAAATCTAGGTAAATATTGTCGATATTACCACCCCGTTCCAGAATATGGGTCCAAATATCCAATACCTTGAGCAATTGTGTTAAGCAGGAGCGCCTCAGCATAAAACCGTGTTGGCAATCCTTTACAAGATTGTCTCGCATTAGATGTTTCATTGCGGCATCTCTGATAATACTCTCAAGTACTTTACATATAATGCTGGTCAGGCTCACCGGTCTATAGTTGTTCGTGGAGTGCCACTCGCCCTTCTTGAAGATAGGACTCGCATAAGCCACTTTCCATTCACTGGGGACCATTTGTTGATCCAGGCAAGGAATTCTTCTTGGAGAGAGCCGTTAGGTTTTGGGGATTTTGAGTTTGACAATCTTTTCAGGAGATTAATGACTTTCTTAAATAGACAACTAGAACTAACTAAACTACAAACATCAGATTCTCTGATGTTTGGGCATCAAAATAATCTAACTTCAGTCGCACTTTTTAACTCATGGCTATCCACAAGGACGATATAAGGATATGCCACTCGTACTGACAGACTTGATGCTCACTTACTTGACAAGCTTTACCAACCATAAAGACAGTTGAAGTTTTCAACATCACTCACAATGGATCTTGAATGTTCCAACTCCAATCAGACATATCTAAGTTGCCTCAACATATGCAACTACAGTTGCAATTTCAAATTCTGTTATTATACTTAGTAATAACGAAGTCTCGGGTGCACTCTAAGATAGAGAGAAAACGGGGTACTCAGGCGTCCTGAAGCGATGAGAAAACGGACTCCTTAGACGGGGGACTCAAATAAAGAAAGCATAGCTACATGTTTTGTGGGCTATTGAGCGTAATATGAATCGTCTGATTTTACATTAACTGACGTGTACGACCGTGGTCATTACAATATCATATTAAACAAAAATGGAAACGACAATGCATAGAACCTAATAGAAGCTGACCAAACATACCCAAAGGTTGGATATGTTAGGTCAGGTTCTATTAGGTTCTATGCATTATCGTGTTAATTTTTGTGTTAAACAACTTACCTTAATATCGAGGTTGATACACATCAGCAATGGCGAGAAGGAATTCGTGGAAGCGTTCACCATCATTTCGGAAACGTCTCTTGAAGAGGGATTCAGCGAGGTAAACAACAAAAATGGCGCCGGGAGGAGAATTGTGAAGTGGGATAGAGTAATTAAAAAAAAATACTTAAAATCATAATAAAAAGTTGTCGT